CCTGCGGTGCCGGCATCCCATATGAGTGAAGGTTTGAGTCCCAGCTGCTCCACGAATGATCCAGCTCCCTGTTGATGGCCTGAGAAAGCAGCGGAAGATAGCCTAAGGGCTTGGGCCCCCCCACCCACATGGGAAATGCAGAAGCTCCTGGCTCCTGGCTTCAGGTCAGTCCAGATCCAGCCGTCGCAGCCATTTGAGGCGTGAACCAGTGGATGGAAGATCTCTCTCTGTCTCTCCTGTTAGCTCTGCCTCTCAAATAAATAAATGGAAGAAAAAAATCTACTTTTAAACCCTTTGACTTTATTCTTCTATGGCACCTTTTCTTCCCAAACCAAAATCGAATTATATAAACTGACCACAGGGCAGAAGTTGGAAAACGGGTAATGTGGGGAATTCTAGAAGGTATAGTTTTCCTCTAGTGGCTTCACATGAACAAATGCCTTTGTATATGTATTGGATATGTTCATTGAAGAAAATGGATAAGCTTTTATAAGTATAAAGATTATAAGCCATCCATGCATTGTCATTCTTATTTTAATGCATTTACTTCCAGTTGTTTTATAAACTTTTATTTTATTTTCTTTGTAAAACTAGAAACACAATGTAAATACTATTTTATAATTCCCTTTTAAAAACTTAATATTATATCATGAGCATTTTATTTTACTGTTAAATATGCTTTACAATTATAATTTTTTTTTGACAGGCAGAGTGGACAGTGAGAGAGAGAGAGACAGAGAGAAAGGTCTTCCTTTTTGCCGTTGGTTCACCCTTCAATGGCCGCTGCAGCTGGTGCACTGTGCCCGGCGCACCACGCTGCTCCGAAGCCAGGAGCCAGGTGCCTCTCCTGGTCTCCCATGTGGGTGCAGGGCCCAAGCACTTGGGCCATCCTCCACTGTACTCCCAGGCCACAGCAGAGAGCTGGACTGGAAGAGGGGCAACCGGGACAGAATCTGGCGCCCCGACTGGGACTAGAACCCTGGGTGCCGGCGCCGCAGGTGGAGGATTAGCCTAGTGAGCCATGGCGCTGGCACAATTATAATTTTAAAAAACACTTTTTAAAGCCTTCAAATCCATTATATGAGTTTGTGTAATTTCTTTAAGCATTCTATTATCATTAGATATTTAAGTAATTTCCACTATTTTAGTATTATAAACAGCCCTGTAATAGACATCCTCATACAAACATATTTTTATCTTTTTATATTTGTAAAATATATAAACACTTATTTTTATAAATACATAAAGCATTATGCGTTTATATATAATAAACACTTCCTTATACATGTATTTGCTACTGTGATAAATCAAATTATGCTTTTTAAATTTTATTTTATTTGAGAAGCAGAGAGAGAAAATCCTCCCACTTGCTGGTTCACCCCCAAAAGCCTAGGAGCCAAGAAACAAATCTAGGTCTCTCACATCCTGGCAAGGACCCAACCACCTGAGCCATTACCTGCTGCCTCCCAGGGTACACATCAGCAGGGACCTGGAATCTGAAGTGGAGCTGGGACTCAAACCCAGGCACTCCAATATGGGATGAGTACATACCCAGCAGTGATGCCCCCTTTTATTCTTTTAATTAACTATACATTTCCATAATACTGCATGTTAATAAGAACAATGCAAGTCCTGAGTAATCCTCACCAAACATCTTAGCTTGAAAGTAGCAGCAAAGATGGTTTCTCTTATCACAAACTGCTAAAAGTCCATTCCTATGGAATCTTCCAGGCTTTTCAGAGGTCCTAAAAGTTAGAAATATTCTATGTTTATACCCAGGGCTGCTATGTTCTTACAGGTATCTCACCCAAGGGAAACACTCCTGGGAATATACTCAGAGTTGTTGAGGCATGGGCATCCACTTTATCTCTACTTCTCTGGGGAAAGTATCCCAATTTGCTCAGCAGAACTGGCCATTTTCTGGTCCAAGCCGATGACACGACTGTCAGAGGCATGTAGCAGAGTGTTCTGTAGGGTTCCACAGCTCTCAACTCTGGTAGTCCCAAAAAGGTTCCAGCTGTTGACACAGGCTGCTTCTTCCACCTGTCTATGCCTCCATTTCTCCATCTGTTCAGATGGAATATTACTTTCTAGGGTTAGTAGTACTTTCTAAGATTGAATGTTCTCAGTTATAAAATAGCAGAAGTATGAGCTGCATCCATAAGAGTATACACTGCAATAGTGATGATGTTGGCTCCCTCCAAAGGGTACTTGTGGTGCTATAAGATTAACACCCTTTGGCAAAGGCACTTAAGACGTGAGGAAACACTGTGTTCATGTTTTGCTATCTGGACATTTGTAATCTTGCATGAAAATATCATTCATATTATATAACTGGTGTCCAAGCAGTTCCACATAAAGCAGCTTGCTTTTATTGAGTTATACTTTTAATGTCCTGAATGAAAATTCTATTTAAAGAGTCCAACATCCCAAGCCATTGCTGAAAATCACACCCTCATCTCTAACAATTTCGTCTGCTAAAATTAGATTCAAGTGTCCTTAATAAGGGAGGAGATGGAAAGTTATCATGAAATGGCAACTCGACAGGACCATAAAGGCAAAGGAATGATCTGGATTATTTGCTTTGTTGAGAGTGGAAGGCAATTACGGTCAGACTGTGAATCTATTAGCCTCAGACCTTTATATTTTACCAAGAGATAATGGAACCTTCAGAACCTGTCTTGGGCATCACCATGACTCTTACAATCCAGATAAGATTGTCTGTAACTCCCATTTCATTTTAGCCAGCCACGAGACTTTGTGTATTAGTGTCTTTTGACTGCCTCTGACTTAGAACCCTATTTCTGCTTAATTCACTGTCTCTGGATCATCTCTTCATCAGATACCTGTTCTGCACTGCCATGGCCTTCCAAGAAGAAATTCATTCCTTGCCTACACAAGCCATTCATTTTCTTAAAGATTCATTTTTTTTGTTTGAAAGGTAGAGTGACAGGAAGAGGGAGCAACAGAAAGAGAGGAGAGAGAGAGAATTTGTCTGATGGCTCAATCTCCAAATGCCCACAATAGTTAGAGTTAGGCCAGGCTAAAACCTGTAGCCAGGAGCTCCACCTGGATCTCTCACATTGGTAGCAGGGAACCAAGAACTTGGATCTTCATCCACTGCTTCACAGGTGCAATAGCAGGAAACTTGATTGGAAGTAGAGTAGCTGGGACTTGAACTGGCACTTCGATATGAGGTGATGCAGATGACCTAGGTTAACCCACTGTGCCATGATGCCTGCCCCTACACAAACTATTCTTTCATTCTATTTCTCTTACTTTTTCTGTGCATATGTGTGTCTCTCATTTACATATATACACATATGCACATTCACATGTTAACCACACACATGCTTACATCCACACACTCCATGCACACAGAGACACACACGCATGCACACACACACACACACACATGACTTTCAGAGGAAATGCACAATACAGCAGATTTCAAAAAATTGGGAAAGACAGGAGAGTTACTTGTGCATCACTTGAACATAGCCCTTTCAGATTGAGCCTTTATCATCTCTACACACAACATTGCTAGGACTTCCTAATCACATCAGGGGCTTGTCACCAGCTTCTCACCACCATTCTATCTTTTCTCCCTGTCCACAAGCCTCAATATCTTACACACAGAAATTCTTAAATCCCTTTGGTTGTCTTCACTGCTTCAAACCCTCAATCCTTCCCAGTCCATCCCCAAATGACTTGTCAAGATACTTTCCTCAAATAGCTCCTCTCAAAGGGATAATTCTGGTAGCAGATGTTAAAATAATACATTCTTCTCCCACCTGCATATCTTTTTCTCCCCTACCTACTTTTTTCATGACTACATAATTGGTAGCCAGGTTTATAAAGAAACACTGTATTCTGATGGGGTGAGAATTTAGCCAAGTGGTTAAAATCCTAGTTAGGACACCTGCATCCCACATCAAAGTACCTGGGTTTAATGCTCAGCTGCAGCTCCTGAATCCAACTTTCTCCTAATGCACACCCTGGGAGGCAGTTATGACGACTCAAGTGATTGAATCCCCGCCACCCATATGAGAGACTTGAATTGAGTTCCTGGCTGTAGCTTGTCTGTCCCAATCCAGGCCATTGTGGGCATTTGGAAAGTGAACCAGTGGATGCAACTGTGCTTTCTCTCACTCTCTCACCCTCTCTCTCTCTATCTCTCTCTCTCTATCTCTCTATCTATCTATCTAATTCTCTTCCTCTCAAATACATAAAAATGAAGAGGAAGAGAAAGAGAAAGAAATGCCATCTTATGGATTGGATAAATCCCAGGAACACAAAGACTATTTTAAGACTATTCCATCTTTACGAGAATTCCACTAATATAAAGGACCTGGCTGGCCAGAGCTATGTAAAACACAAGGACTACTCATATATTCCTTGGCTTGGAACCCAAACCATCATTAAGAGACTCCATCAATTCTGTGACTCTCAGCTCTATTCAAGGACAGCTGGTTATCCACCAACCACAAGATTTAAGCCTTGAAGACAGATGTTCAATAATCCAAGAAGACCATTGGCAGGAGGTGCCAAGTGCACAATTCTGTGTCAAAACAGAGGACTGCTGAAGACTCTGCTTAGCAGGAACTAAAGAAAGTCTTGCCAAGCAGGAGGGATTTCAAGATAATTCAGTAGGAGTGGGCATGGAGGGGACAGCTGGAGCCTTGCTTTCAAACCTCAGCCTGTCCTGCCAAACACCCAAATTGAACAGAGTTGGGGAAAAAAAAAATAGAACAAAGGCATCAGCAGATGCACGCTGAGGGCACCATGTGTTATCTTTGCTGGAGCAAGAAGAGGAGTGAGGAAGGAGGGGACTGATTTCCTGGATACCTGACCTTAACCACGGAGCCAATTTTGAATCAAACACACTCAGAATGCTGTATGAAAATGCTCATACCCCCATTACTTCGGTTTCTGCATCAGACGTACTGTCTTGCCTCTGCCTTGTCTTGCTCACCTCATTTTCCCGTAAACATACATACCTGCTCAGGAAAGATCAGTCCTTTGTTTTTGTCTCCATGTGAAAGCCAGAATGCTTCCTACACTTCTTGGGGTAGCTGCAGTTTTTACTCCATGAGAAACCTGCCATCCAGGGTGGCAGATTTCAAGATTTTATCCACCTTGCCCTAGAGAACAGGGAAGGTGGGGAGGTAGGCTGACATCCAAGCATGTGAAATGTCTGTATTTTTGTCATAAAAATTTCCCATTCATTCCAGAAATCACTCCCTGACTCTTCTGGCTTCCTTCAGTACAAAGAGAGCAGCTTAGCCAAGGATTATGAGCAACTAGGGAGGTACAATTTCACTGCCAAGTTGCCAAGTCATGAAGGAAATGCAACTTGTCTAGTGACAGAGGGATCTGGAAAGAGTAATGGCCTGGGAACTCTCCGAAGGCAGCAGGAGGGACCAGCAGCAGGAAATGAAATGCAGGATCCCATCCCTGCAGAGTGCTAGCATCTCATCACAGAGTATGATGAGCAGGATCTGTGAGCTTACAGTCGCAGCCTCATCCTGGTCACCAGCTGCAGCACTGGACACCCCAATCTTTCCAATCTTTGCCTGACTCCATTCTCCCTTGACTCTCTCCTACCTATGAGCCACTTCTTCTTTGTCTCCTCAGCTGGTTACCTCCATCTCCCTGACCTCCAAACACAGAACATTCCAGAGCTCAATCCTGGGAGCTCTCTTCAATATCAAGTCTCACTCCCTGGCTAAACTCATCTATACTTCAAGAACCGGACATATGCTGATGACTCAAATCTGTAACACTAGACCTCTCATTTAACCTCAGGTCAGTGTATTCAGGTGCCTACTCCACATCTTTACCTGGCTATCTGACTCAAACTTAACACGTCCACAATATAACTCTAGGTCCTCCTTGCTCTTATTTGTCTCACTAGATGGAAACTCCATTCTTCCAACTGCTCAAGCTGAAATATGAAAGGCAACCTTGAACTTTGCTCTCCCACTTACATCTTGTATCTTATACCTTTCTCATACACCTTACATCAGCCAGGCCCATTTGTTCTACCTTCAAAATTTATCTAGAATCCAACCACTTTTCACTACCTCAACCATCACTACCAACCTGGTGCCAGCTACCACTCCTTGGTGTCTGGACAATATCTCCAAGTTTGTCCACTTTCTGCAGTGTGATCCATGCAGCAGCCACATCTTTTGAGATTCAGATCAAAACAATTCCCTAGTCAAATCTTCCATGGATCTCCTGCTATTCTATATAAATCCCTTCATGATCTGTCCCTTATTAGTCATCATGGTTTATTATTCTTAGCATTTTTGTAGTCTAGAATAGGAGTCACCACTCTGAAGTCCTTGGGACTGCTTCCTGTTTTATAAATGAAGTTCTATTGGAAGACAGCCATGTTCACTGACAAGGACTTTCTCCTTAACCAAATTTAAGTCAGTCTCCTTGGACTCTCTTCTTGACTGGGCCTAGAACTTGGTCTGCCTCTCTGACCTCAGCCTGCTGAGCCTAGTGTTAAGAAGAATCCTGCAAAAGTAGCTTATCAAGAATCCTCCCATCCTTGGTATCTGCTCAAATTCCTTATCTCTCATCCTTGACATCTAAGTTCTTCGCAATAATTTCGTCTCTTGAGCTAATCAAGTCAAGCTCCACATTGGAGCTCAGATCTATACTGAAGTCCCTCTCCCCTAATATATATCACCATTTTTAATAAGTGTTGAGTACAAAATTTATTCTCCTACGTTATCCATTTACACACAGTCTATGGCTACTCAAGTGCTATAATAGCAGAATTGAGTACTTGCAATAGAAATTGTATGATCTGCAAAGACTAAATTTACTATCTGGTCATTTACAGAGAAAGGTTGCCAACTGTTACTCTAAAATGTAAGTTCCATGAAAATGGAGACTTTGAAAATGTTCAATAAGTAGTTGTTAAATTAACAGCAGATAAATATATAAGATGAAAGTATAAAGTAGTGACTAGATTTCTAACAAGAGTATCAGAATGTGACATGCAAATGAGTGCTGTCCTGTAAAAGACAATGGTTGTGATAAGTTAGCAGGGTGGCTCTCACTGAAAATGGATTAGAAACTTTTGATAATGCAATGGTTTCTGCCTCCTAGGGAATGGTGTTTAATTTATTTTCAGAGACAACCATATTAGCATTTAGGACAATGACCGTACTCATATAAGCACATCCCACCTGTTGTCCCAGGGGACGAACTGTGTTCAGTGGAGTAACCTGAATGCTGATGTTAGTTTGTTTCACTTAATAGTGTAAATTGTGAATGTCTTTCAGCAAAGCTGTGGGCTTTAGATTAATTGGAGGTATAAAAGATGCACACATATACAACTCTTCCTCTCTTTTCTTTGCGTACTAAGAAGAAGGCCTGGGCCTTCTCGTGTTGGAATGAGAGCTTCCCTTGCTCTTAGTGTCTGGCTAGGAAGTAGGGAGTAAAAAATACCAACTGACAGGTCTAATCCCAGGAGTTGCATAGAGCAACTACTGAAGATTTTAAGTATTCCCTGTGAATTCTGGGCCTGTGAAATACTACAGGAAATTAGAGGAAGAACCTGATCCAAGCCAGAGATGAAAGAGCAAAGAGAAAAGAGCAGTCATGCTCCCATGAAGCCAGAACAAGAGCACAAGAGAAAGACACAGCCCATGGCAGTCATGTTCCTTGGATGAACACCCTCTGAGGGTCACCAGGACCTAGATCAGGCATGTGGGCACACCAAAAAGAGATAACTGGTCCTGAGCAAATCTGAGAACACACCTCCAAACTAAACTGTGGATGGGACAGTTAAGACAGTGTAGAATAATACAGTATGGATATTTAAAAGAAAAGTTGGTATCATTTTGTATCACAGCCTACTGAGACCAACATATTTAGCTTACAGCAAAGTTAGCTATTTAAAGAACATTATTTTAATGACTACCATAGTTATTATTTATTCATTCATAATAAATATTAATTGAGTACCTGCAGCACATCCATCACTGGACTGAATATGGAAATCTAGTGATGTGTCCCACAGATGTGGCTGCATTCTCAGGATCTTAGTATCTAGTAAGGAGGCAGAAAATAAACAAAAGGTAAATGAATATGTATTTACTTGTTATAAATTTTACAAAGGAGAAAGAGAAGGAGGGAGGCATATAGAGGGTTGGTTATACGGATGGACAAATGGACATATGGATGGACACAGTGGAAGGGATAAAATACACCAAGTTAAACAAATGTTTGTGTGTACTTATTATAAATTATACAAAGGAGAAATGGTGGGAAGGAGACACATGGATGTTTGAAGAAACAAAGGGAGGAGGACACATGAGTAGAGGGAGTTGTGGGGTAAAGGAGGGAAAGAAAAGGAAGGTGAGATGGATGGCTTTTCTGACTATTGTACTCCTAGGTTCATCCAATTATGTATTGTTTTCTGCTGTAAAGTATATACCCATTCAAAGTTGGTTGGCTGGGTCACTTGGTCTTATAGTCTTGTTAGATCTCCTTCCATTAGTCAGAACCTGCCTCCTCCACACCCATGCCACGTCACACACCTGCAGTGAGGAGATAGCCCTCTTTTCACTTCACTCACCAGACTAGGTGACTTCCAGGTAACTTTCCAAAAATGGGAAAGTCACCCAGCCTTCCAGTAGCCATCTACGAGGGTCAGTTCTCATCAATTGTTTATAAACATATCCAAAGAAGCTCCATTTTCTGGAGGTCTTACTCACTGGGGATATAAACATGAAACAGTCTCATTTTTTCCAATAACCACCATGCCTCAAAAGTATGCTCTGCAAACACCCCCAGTTCCATTGCTTCTTGGTCCTTTTCAATTACTAAAACAGTAAAATTCCTATTAAAAAAGACTTGTGTTCATTTAACTCTTCAGACTACTTGATTCAAAGTCCTCTCTGCAAGATATGCTAGGCTGGGCTTGCTGCTCCCTCAACATTCGGTCTCTGGTTCCAACTGCTGTAGTGTTGGGTCAGAGGTTAAGAGAGAGGGACCAAGTTGCCCACCAGCCAAGTGCCAGCAGCCCAGCTGCCAGCCTGTCTTTGCCTTGTTTCTCTATCTTTGCCTACTCCCCAGTTCCCTCTGTGTTGTAGGGATTCAAAGCAGACTCTCAGGAACATGTCTGTGAATTCTTACAAGGCAGAGTGGGTTCCTTGCTGCACAGTCTTCACCACAGAAATCCTGCTGGAATGGCCCTTTTCCTATCTCCCCAGCACCCACAAGGGAGGCTTCAGGGATTCCTCTCCCCTTAGGCAGCTTTTTTGGGAATGCCTGTAATACAGACAGTTTTCCAAGTATCCAGTGGAAACCCAGGATGCTCACTGTCCCCATAACACCCTTGGTAGCAGGACAGGCAGTTACCCCATGGCTAGCTCTGACTCTGCCCTCTCTCTGCAGTCCCTGTCTCCTCACTCCAGCAGTACTGGAACTTTGGTAGAGAAGACAATGAATGATCTTTAATTCCCGAGCAAGTGGAGATGGGAATGGTCCAAGCACCCTTGGATTTGGGGAACCTCTCACCTGTTATTTTGAGGAGGCAACAAAAATAGTTTCTCTTCCCTATCATGCCTTCCCCATGAGAAGCTACTCTCCATCAGGGAGATAAGCACTCTTCCTGCCAGGGAGAGCTCATTCAATAGGAAGAGGGCCAGCTCTATAACTAGTGTCTCATAAAGCTAGGCAGAGATGGGTCAGGGCCCAATTGTTGATAGTCACCTCAACTCAGGACATAGGTGTTTAGCACCTGGAAGGTGGCCAGGGTTGAGGGCAAGGGGAGTCATCCCAGCCGTGGGGATTTGCAAGAAATTCTAGGGGAAGATGATTTCACTCAACACCTGACACCAGCCTATTTCACCATTTCTAACAGCTCAAGACCAAACTGTACTGAAAGGCTAAGCAAACCTACCAGAAGCTTTCTCTGTGTCTCTGACTGGAGCTGTGACATCTCAGTTGGTAGAAGAGGACAACTCAAGTGTGTCAGAGCCTAAACACATTCTCTTCTAGGAAGTGAATGTTCCCTCCACCTATTGAATTCAATAGATTTCAATTCAAAGATTGAAGCCCTAATCCCAATGTGATGGTATTTGGAAGTGATGTCTTTGGGAGATGATTGGATTAAGATGACATCATGAAGGTGGGGCCCTTGTGATGGAATTGATGCCTTTATGAGAAGAGACACCAGACAACTGGGTTACACTCCCTCTTGTGAGGCCACTGTGAGATCACAGTCCAAAAGCCAGGAAACCAGCCTTCACCAGACACTGGAGCTGGCAGTACCTGGTTCTTGGACTTCTCAGCCCCCAGAACTGTCAGAAATAGATGCTGTTGTTTAAGTCACTCAATATACGGTATTTTGTTACAGCAGTCACTACCCTCACAACGAGCAGACCAAGAAGCAAATATCATGTTAGGATGCACTGGTAGATGTACAGATATAGCAGTCTTGTCTCCCTGCTCCTCTGTACAAGCTACAGCATCCATTTGATACTTATCGAGTCTCAGAGTAGAATGGGCACTTGGGAAGCTGAGACAGACAGCACCTGAACCTCGACTCTACTAGTGACTATTGGTTTTAGAAAGGACATGGATCTGAAAGAAAATCCTCATACCACAGGAAGAAGGAGCAGTCACAGAGCAAGAAGCTCTCTTGAGCAAATCAGGAAACCCAGGGCACGATGTTTGCAGTGATTTTTGAAAAATAACTAGATCAGAAGGAGCAGAGACTAGATCAGTTTTTTGAAACAATACTATAAAGGCGGAGGGGGGATGTGATTCGTTACACCCTTACTACCTAACAACTCCTAAAATAGCCTGTCAAAGACAATAAAGAAATGCTGCGTCCCAAAGTGGTCCATGACAGTGGCCTTTATCTATTTGAAAGGCTTTGAAGAGGGACTTAAATTAGATTTTTTTCAGAGTCGATTCAGATCTAGAATTAGATTCTCTTGGTGGAAGTTCTAGAAGGCAAATTTGGGAGCACAAAACAAATTGTATCTAATTATTAGAACTTTCTTACAATGAAGCAATCTTTCTGGATGAGTAGGGACACCTGTCACTAGAGGAGTCAGGCAGAAGCTAAACCATCATTGGTCAGAGCTGCAGAAGTGGGAGTTCCTCCTCATCCAGGCTCCAAAGCAACTTACAAATAGCTCAAAGACTTACTAATACTATTTGGAAGAGGATACCACTCATTTGGATGCCTCAGGACCAACATGCTTATTAAACAATCATCTACATAGAGTCTACAGGTCATCAGAGGAGGAAAAATCTGCCCATGAGGACTGTTTATGAACAGAGCTTATACGTCAAATCATCCATTTGCCACCTGGATCTATGGTTAAAAGATTGAAATTCTTGTTTTGGGGATTTGGTGGTAAAGGAAAGAGAATTTCTGTCAAAAAATAAAAATTAAAAGATTTTCTTTGCCTTTAATAATAAAGAGAAGCACTTCTTTCCTTCAAAATTCCATATTTAACTTTCCATTGTGGTTGCCATGGTGATCTGAGCTGGCACCTGATTCCTGCTAGGAGACCTTAGGCTCCCTGCTGGAGCACTGTGAGTTTCCAGGCTTGGCTGACACTCCTGGCTTCTCTTCAGGGAGTGTCAGTAGTGAGCTGTGTCTTATTTTAGTCAAAATAATAAAGGGCAATTTAAATCTTGGTCTTTTGTTTTTCTTAATAGGTTTTAAAAGCATTGCATGGCACATTACAGCAAACATACTTTAACATATATAAATACAGAACAGTGTGAATGAAGTAAAATTGCATGAAATGTCCATGCAAAGAGCATCTCTGTTCATACTTTGAAGACATTCAAGAAGTTTCTTTTCTTATTTCTGTCATTTACGTGTGTGTGTTCATGTGCACATTTCTCCTTATATAAAACAGGATCATTGATCATTGATCTTTAGAAACTTTATTACTCAAAATTTCATGTCATGGTCATCAGTCTTTGGCAACCAACATAACATTTTATATCCGTTGACACTAAAAAGAAGTATTGTATGAATTCATTCAATTCTCATAAAAACCCCAGCCAAGCACTATATTATCTGTTACTATGCCTATTTTGCTGTCATTGTCTCTATTCTATAAAATGTGACTCACTGAAAGATGAAGTTCCAAGAAAGATTACATTCTAATAAGTGACAGAATCCAGGCACTTTGATTCCATGGTTTGTGTGCACTTAATTGTCACATGATATACCACTGCTGAGCAATGCCTCTTTTTTCAAAGGAAGAATGGCATTTTGTGTTATAAATGTACCATCAGTTATTTACTCAGCCCCTTTTTGATGGGCAATTAGATCATTTATAATACTTTGTAGTGATAAGCAACACTCTGATCAACACACTTGGGTGTACTCATGCCTCTTAAATCAGAGGGTTTACCCCACCCTCTACAAAGCGTGTCTGATTTTACACTGGAGCTAAAGTGCCTCATCTCCCATGTCTTAGACAACACCAGATTTGTCTTTGGTGATTTCAGTTGCAGCCCTTGCTATAATGAGGTTGAACAACTTCTCCTTTTAACTGATCCTATTTTTTCCTTCTTCTGAGTTGCCTGTCTTCATGTGCCTGTTTGTGAAATTAGAGTGCTCACCTTTTCATGGTTTACTTTACACAGCACTACATACACAGCAGGGTGCGTATTTACAGGAGTAGAGTGCATTGGCTCTTTCAGCTCGTTCTAACCTCTCCCGTTCCAGGGGAGCTAAAAAGGACATTTTCTAGATTCCCTTGCAGCTAAGACTTCAAATGTGATGGTGTTCTACCACCCAGACATACTGACAGGAGTCTTGAGAGAGAAACAGCCCCTGAGGCACTTATGGCATTCACTTTTGCTTGTGTGGAGTCAGTGGACTCAAGGGGGCTCATCAGATTGGCCAGTAGCTCTGGCCACTGTTTCCTCATGGTTGGCTCAGAGCTGTGATCTCACAAGCTATTGGCCAACAGAAGAGGTAGCAGCTTCTTTGGTGAAGCAGAGTAGCAGCTGCCTCGGCAGGCTGTCTCTGCAATCTCCTCCTTTGACTTTCCCAATGATTCAGTAATCATCTAAGTATGTACATTATGTTCATATTATGTAAATTATGTATATTAAATACCTTCCTGCTTAAAGAGTCACAGTGGGTTCTACAACCGGTAACTACAATCTATAACTGGAAGCTGACCACAAAATGTTCAATCACTAAACACTAAATATTCTTTCAAATATTTTCCCACGTTTGTTATTTGTTGTTCAAAGCTGTTTTCACTCTATTTATAGTCATATATGTTAGAACTCTTTCTTTAAGATTTCTAGCTTATAGCATCCCTGGAGGGGGGAGGGACTTGTTCTTTCCAAGTTTATAAAATCTATATTTTTATTACTAATAATACTATTTGAAGTTTGTATGTATTGCAGAATAAGACAACTGTCATACTCAATAGTTCCACTGGTTTTTAAGCACCCTCAATAGACCAATAAACACAAGAGTATAAATATTGTTGGCTTTAGAAGCTATGTGGTCTCTGTTGCAACTACTCAACTCTGTTGCTATAGCACAAAAGTGGTCAGAGATGATGTGCAAACTCTGGGCATGGTCACACTTGACCCTCCAGCCTCAGCATGTTGATTCTCCTTCTGTTGCCTACATGTTTTATTTATTCCTAGGCTATTTCTATGCTTGCTGCATTACAAGTTTACATCCTGTTTTTAAAGATTTATTTATTTGTTTGAAAGTCAGAGTTCAGAGAGAGTGAGAGATAGAGAGAAAACACTTGGGTCATCTTCTACTGCTTTCCCAGGCAATATAGCAGAGAGCTGGATCAGAAGTAGAGCAGCTGGGACATGAACTGGCACACATATGAGATGTTGGCATCAAAGGCAGTGGCTTTACCCACTATATCACAATGCCAGCACCTTGTCTTGCTTCATTGCACTTCTTTACAGATTTTTTTTTCTGGCTATTCTTTTTGTTGTGTTGTTGTTGTCATTATTGTTGTTTGCTTTATTTGAAAGACACACAGGGGCCAGTGCTGTGGCGCAAAATGTTAAAGCCCCAGCCTGCAGTGCCAGCATCCCACATGGGCACAGGTTCGAGTCCCAGCTGCTCCACTTCTGTACCAGCTCTGCACTATTTTGCCTGAGAAAGCAGAAGAAGATGGCCCAAGTGCTTGGGCCCCTGCACCCACGTGGGAGATCCAAAGCTTCTGGCTTCGGAGCGGCTCAGCTCTGGCTGTTGCAGCCATTTGGGGAGTGAAGCAGCAGATGGAAGACTCTCTCTCTCTCTCTTTCTCTCTCTCTGGCTCTACTTCTCTCTGTAACTCTGTCTTTCAAATAAATAAAATAAATATTTAAAAAAAAAAAAAGGAAAGACAGAGAGAGGTCTTCCATCTGCTGCTTCACTCCCCAGATGGCTAGAACTGGGTCAGGTCAGTAGACTCAGACTGAGTCTCCCACATGGGTGGCAGAGACCCACATACTGGAGCCATCATCTGCTGCCCCCCAGAGTACACATTAACAGGAAGCTGGATCAGAAGCAGAGAAGACAGGACCCGAACCAGGCACAGTGTTATGGGATACAGACATTCCAAGTGGCATCCTAATCACTGCACCAAACACCTGCTCTGCTATTCTTGACTATTCCGCTAGAGGAACTTTTGAATCATTTTTTCAGATTAAGAAAATCCCAGTGGATATACAATTAAAGTACAACCTTATTCATAAATAAACTTAGGGAAAAATACCATCTTTACAAAACTGTCTTCTGACCTCCATTTGTTTAAGTCTCCTTAATTTTCAAGTATAACATTAATTTTCTTCCTAAAGGGTCAGTACTGGCGGAGATTCAAATCCCAGCTCTGCTACTTAAGAGCAGTGTGGCTTTAAAGAAGTTACTTCTCCGTGCTTTTGCTTTCTCATTGCTAAAATGGGAGTAAGTCTCTCTGGCGAGGTTTCGGGGGGATTCAGTGATCTATCTACAAGGCACACAACAAGTACTGTTCACTTGGAATTAAACCTCTTGTTATAAACACTGTTGATGGGAATGTAAACCAGTACAGCCAATGTGGGAAACAGTATGGAAGTTCCTCAAAAAACTAAAAATAGAACTACTCTATGACCTAGTAATCTCACTACTGGGTAAATATATCCAAGGCAAATGAAAGCAATCTGTTGAACATGTCAAACATGCACTCCCGATTATACTGCAGCACTAGTTACAATAGCCAAGAAATGGAAACAAACTAAGTTCTGATTCACTGAGAATGGATAACAAAAATGCAGTATTTACACACGATGAAATACTACTCAGCCGTAAGAAGGATTAAGTCCTGCCATTTGTAATAGCATGGATGGAACTGGAGGTCATCGTGTTAAAAGAAATAAGAGAAGCACAGAAAAATAAGTATCATATAATATCACTCCCATGTAGACTCTAAAAAATAGGGGATCAAATAGTTGATAAGAGTATAATGGTAGCTACCAGAGGCTGAAGAGGGAAAGCAAGAAGGAGGGAAAGGTTGATTGATGGGTTAACTGAATAAGAAGTTCTGGAATTCTATTGCACAGTAGGATGACTATAGATAATGCTAATATACTATACATTTCTCTATTTTAAAAAGAAACTAGAAGATCTTTGATGTTCTCACTATACAGAAATGTTATATGTTTGAGAAGATAAATATATTTACCAATTGGACATTACACTATACGCGTGTCAAAACATCACATGGTGCCCCATAAAAATGTACAATTTTTATGTCTGTTCGAAAACATTAAATAAACTCTTGCTACCTATGTTAGAGGACAGTGTTATTGCTGTGAGTATCCACATTGATTTCTAAGTTTGAAAAATGATTCTGGTGTTTCACTACTGGGCATAATGGAAATAACTCACGAAAATTTCCTACTATGATCTATTACTATTTTACTGTTTATCCAGTACATATATTCACTTTTATCAAATGTCTTTGACACATTTAATGAGAGGAATGCTTTTCACCCTCCTTTACTCATCAATATAAAGAATTACATTAGCAGATTTCCACTATTGATCCATCTTTGATTTGTTAAAATGAACCTCACTTAGCCACATGCTATCCTTTAATTCATTACTAGATCCTATTCACTTGAACATTATTTGGGGTGTTCATATCAATGTTCTTACAAAGATTAAACTGCATATCTAACTGTTCTTAAGTGCTATCTTCACCTATTTCTAATACCTATATTGTGCTTGCTTCAAAAAGATAATTCAGAAACTTCTCTTTCTCTGTTCTAAAATACTTGCAAACAGCCTGGGGGCCATCTGGGCCTCAATAATTTAAAATTATGCAATTGTAAAACAGTTTGTGTCTGATATTTTATAGCAACTGGCTCAATTTCTTCCATGATGATTGGTCATTTTCTTTTTTTTTTTTTTTTTTTTTCAGCTCCTTTTGAGTCGGTTTTTTCTTAAGGCTTTTTCCTGGAAAAGCATTAATTTTTAGCATCATTTTTCCATTTGTTGGGAGATTACTGCATTTGGATTTACTGGTTACAAAAAACCATAAAACTTTTCTTGTTCATACTTGGTTTTTCTTTCTTTCCTTAATTCATTATTTTTTAATTAAAAATAAAAATAATTCATCGTTACATGGGGCTTGCTAGGTGCTTTCCATAGCTTTCCCCAGTGCAGCACACAATCTCTGACAGTCCTTAGAAATGTCCTCCCAAGTGGGAGATGGGATGGTTGCGGGTGGGAGGGAGGTTGTGGGGGGGAAAGCCGCTATAATCCAAAAGTTGTACTTTCAAAATTTATATTTATTAAATAAAAGGTTTTTTTTTTTTTTTTAAAGAAATGCCCTCCCACAGAAGCAGAAGCTCTCGTGCTACATGATGCAAGATGCAGGAAGTAGGGAACGGGTTTGGGGGACAGAAGCCTTGCTAGGCAACAGGAATGGTTCTCAATCCTGACTACACATCAGAAACACCCAGGGTGCTGCTAAAATAAATACTAATGCCTGGACCCTTCCTCAAACAAATCCAAGCAGACTCTTTGGGGTAGAACATAGGCATCAGTATTTTAAGTCTCCTCAGATGTTTCTAATGTGTACCCAGAATTGAGATTCTCTAGGTTCCGGAAACACAGTGAAAGCTGGGGAAAACTCTTAAAGGAATACAGCCACATAGTCTGTAGCCCAAATCCACTAATAATAAAATACTTGATCCCTAGGCCACATTGAACCCACAGGTCTGCTGTAGAGATCCTGTCCCAGATCCAATGTCTTGAATCTCTCCATAGGGATCTGAGACACTGGATCACAGCAGCAAAGTATCTAAGACAGGTTTCTGGCATTAGAAATACCTTGGGGCATGTACACAAAATACCAAAATTCTCTCCCAATGGAAGTGGAAGAGTCACAGAGCTGGAAGAGTGCAAAAGTCTTTTGCCAGCGTGCAAAAGTCACAAAGAGACCATTCCTGTAGCTTGCTGTTCTCCTTTGCTGCTGCAGAAATTCACCATTTCCTTTGAAAAACATTTTAGAACCATTAAAAATACATCCTGGGGTCCTGGGAATAAAATTCAATGTCACTTATCCGTGACCTACATATGATAACACACACAGGATGGCTTTTTCAAATTGAGAGTATGGCTCAGAAGAAAGCCTCCTGACATCTAAAACAAGAGAGGGTAGAAATTTAATTGAGGGGCTATCACTGTGGCACGGCAGGTTAAGTTGCCACTCGTGACACTGGCTTCCCATATCAGAGCACTGGTTCCAGTCCTGGCTATTCCACTTCCAATCCAGCAACCTATTAATATGCCTGAGAAAGCAGTGAAGCAGGCTCAAGTATAAGGTTACCTGCCATCCATGTGGCAGACCCAGGTGGAATTCTAGGCTCCTGGCTTTGGCCTGGACCAATTCTAGTTGTTGCAATTATTTGGGGGAGTGAACTAATAGATGGAAGATCTCTTGCTCTCTTCTCTCTGTGTGTCACTTTGCCTTTCAAAAATATAAATAATCGGAAGAAAGAAAGAGAGACAGAGAGAAAGAAAGAAATTGCATTGAATGACTTATTCACCATTTGCCTTACCCTACTCCTCTCCAAATACTGGCTCACCTAACAGTTTCCCATTTTTCATAAAGCAAAATAAATATATCTTTAGTGCCAGATAATATGTCACCTAGTCAAGCTTTTCAAATTCCTCACATTTACTCTAAAAGTCATTTTATTCTTTCATATGATAATAAAATGGCAACCCTAAAACCTCCAGTTCCCCTTAGTAATTCAAGATGGAGTCAGACAGACCAGTTCAGATCCCAGCACTCACTATGTTTGTACCCTTGGGCATGTTTTCAAATTTTAGTTTTAAACATATCTGCCTCCCAAGGTTGTTCCAAAGATGAAATGAGATAACTTATGAGAAGTGCTTAACACAATGTCTGCCACCTTGTAAACATTACAGCCACTCAACCAACAGCTATTTGTTTGTGGCATTCTGTATCATATATCAGGGGCTATGCTGGGCGCTACAGATACAGTGGTGCATAAAATCAACTTGATCCTTGCTTCCATGAAGCTTACAAACTAATTCTCAATAAATGCCTGCTATTATTACTTCAAGATGCTAAGAATGGGAACAACCCATTCACTGCTAAAAATAAATGGTTATGAGTGGCACAGCAAGAATTTGCAAACATTTCCTTGAGCATGCTGATTCCCAAATGGCAGGCATTTGTACAATTATGTTACATGGGAAGCAACAACACAGCACAGGAGGGTGGGATGGCATACTGACTTAGATTGAACTTGAGATAACAGGAATTCCAGGTCTGAAGATACAGCGTGGGCTGACATTTCCTACTCAAGTCTTCCCAATGCACTTAACTCCCACTTAAGTCACTTGTACTCCCTGGGCTTCAGTTTCTCCTCTAGCTGTGCCAGATTATTTCTCAGATCCCTACTAGTCTTACCACTTCTTGATAATTTTAAGTGCATGTATATTTTGTACTTTTGCCTAAAAGCAATGACACTTCAGGTCTGCTAGCTTTAACTGCAGCAATGAAAACACTACACAAAATGTGTTTCTACTGATTGAGATTTTAAATAACATGATCAGAATCAGGTACTCTCTGACTGAAGCCGTGTGCTGCCTACCTTAATATCCATCTTCCCCTCCCACCTTAGTAAGTGAACCCCGGTTTCATGTGAAGTGTCAATGTCCCCCAGCTGAATGAATGATATTTCCCAGACTCCTGTATGATTCCCCGGCTGGCACTTTACTTAATTTTGGTTAAAGACAAGTAAATTGGTCTTTCCAGCAAGTCTCTCTAAGTAAGAAAGGCCAAGCCCTCCTTCCTTCAATGAACAACAATAAACTAAAGGAATATGTTGAAAGATAAATACCACTAAAATGTGCAAAAGAAGAATTTTCAAAAGTCAGTATTTGCTTTACATTTTTTTAGTTAAATACCACCATAATTCAGCAATCCGTAATATTTTTAATGATTTTTACACCCTTTACACTTCTGGGGGAAAATATCATCACAGAGTAACTATAAGATTTTTACTTGACAAATTGTTTATGATCATTAAAATTGTCCATGCATTCTTGTACCCTTTATGAGAAACTCTCAAAGGTCCCTGCACTCAGAGAAACTTAGATCTGTATTAAGAAATCTAAGGCAGTTTTCTTTCAGAATTTCAAGATGCATTTCAAAAAAGCATCTATAACAGTCCAGATTCTCCAGAGACAGAATTGGTCGTACAAGTGTGGAGACTTAGCAAGTTCAAAATCTTGTGGGATAGGCCAGTAGGTTGGAGATCCTGTTGCAGTCTATGTCCCAAGACCGTCTACATGCAGAACCGTAGGATTCCTTCTTGCTTGGAGGGATCAGCCTTGTTCTAATAAGATCTTCAACAGATTGGATGAGGCTTGCTCACATTATAGAGGATAATTTGCTTTACACAAAGTTTACTGATTTAAAATTTAATTTCATCTATAAATCACCTTCATAGAAACATCTAGGAAGATATTTGACCAACTATCTAGCTACCGTGGATTACTCTAGTTGACACATAAAATTAACCACCCTGGCATCTTAATTTTATTTGCAAACCTTAATTATTGCCAATGAAAATCTCAGCCTATGTAAATCTGGCACAAAGTGTATGTGTGGAAAGAGACTTCAGGGGAGAAGGGAGAGATCCATGGCTTGGACCAACAACAGGGAAAGAGAGGGTTATACATGAGAACCCAACCTTCAGCTCACCCAGTCTAGCAGTAAATTCTATTTGTTCTGTGGTTCTTATTAGTTGTACATATGGAGTAGTCACACACATAGCCAAGTCATCAGAGCAATTAGAAAGAGGTAAGAGGTGTGAGATGTCCTGAAACCTTCAATTTAAACAAAATCTGACCATATTTCCACCTCCATCAAACAATATCATAAGCAAACTCTTGAAGGGGTAAATATTTGGTGCAACAATTAAGATACCTCTTGGACACCTGCATCCCATATCAGAATGCCTGGGTTCAAGTCCTAGATCTGCTTTCTATTCTAGCTTCCTGCTAATGCATACCCTGAAGGACATAACACTGACTTGATGACTCAAGTATTTGTGTCCCTGCCACCCACATAAGATACTTGGATTCAAGTTCCCAGCTCCTGACTTCAGCCTGCTCCTGTCCTGTCTGTTGTATGCATTTGGGGTAGTGAAGAGTGGATAGGCAATCTCTCTCTCTCTTTCTTTCCCTCTTTCTCCTATTTCTATCTCACTAACTTACTCTCTTGCTCTTCGTCTTCCAAATACATTTCTTAAAAATTTTAAAGAAATCCTTCTGAGTTTCCAGGGCCAGAAGTCATGCAACCCTAGCAGGGAGGACAGTGAAGAACCATCAATACCCAGATAAGCAATTTATATCATCTACTGTGTCCAGTATGGGCTCCAATTGAGTGGCTGATGGCCAGTTTATCAAATAGAGCAGTAAATCCACTGCTGCTAAATAACAGATGTCAAAGTCCATGCCAATTCCCAAAGCACAGGACCACCTCACATATAAAATGTTTAACACAGTCTTAAAAAGACTACCCACATTGTATTAAATATATACCACACAATTCAAAAACATTAATTAGTGCAATCTGTTAAACAGATGTGGAAAGTAATAAACTGTCTCTTCAGTATAATCTTCAAATCACTTAATTCTATAATGTTTCCATCCCCCCAGTGACTGTGGTAACTATAAATACACTGTTGCAACAAATCATTTCAAATTTCTTGCCCAACAATGTTCCACATCCCTCAAAATGTTTTCATTTTTTCTAGTTGAGTAAAAGTTGTCAATTCCGTGGAGCATCAAGTTCAATTTTATTGGAGAAGAAAGGAGAGGTTAGAGGAGGAGGGAATGGAAGAGAGGAAAGAGGGGATGAGGAAGAGAAAGAAGAGGTGGAGAAAGGGTTTTAGAATAATTTCAAGTTATTCATGGGTGTGAATTAAGCAGGAAACCTGTTTTCAGAATATTATCAAAATATACTACTTCTAACATATATAAAGAAAACTTGTAAAATACTAACAAAAGAAAAATCGAGTGTTAGGAACTCTACCAAAAGCAAAGACTGTAGAACACTGATTTCTAAACCATGTCTTCTATCTCTCGACTCTATCATATCCCATTGCTTAGACCCATCATATTACCAATCGACTAGCTATAGTGACAAAAAATAGTGACTTTGAAGCAAGTCACATATCCAGAGGAATGGACTCTGCCATGAGGATTATCTATATTACTCAAAAACAGTAAAATTCACTTGCAAAATGTTTCCCTTTAGTGAATACATTCTGCAAGTGTCTCCGTGATCATCCAGCCCCACTTCTTAGATTTATGGCAGCAACAGCTTCAGTCCAGAAACTTTAGTGACCAACCAAAGTCAGATTAATTAAGCAGTAGACCTGATAATGAATCAAGATCTTAGGACTCTAGTTCAGTATTCTTTGTTACATTATGAAAAAAACCCAAAATCAAAGATCTAAGTTTATACCTTAAGAAGCTAGTATAAAAGTAAATTTAACCCCGGCCGGCGCCGCGGCTCACTAGGCTAATCCTCCGCCTAGCGGCGCCAGCACACCAGGTTCTAGTCCCAGTTGGGGCGCCAGATTCTGTCCCGGTTGCTCTTCTTCCAGGCCAGCTCTCTGCTGTGGCCAGGGAGTACAGTGGAGGATGGCCCAGGTGCTTGGGCCCTGCACCCCATGGGAGACCAGGAAAAGCACCTGGCTCCTGGCTCCTGCCATCGGATCAGCGCGGTGCGCCGGCCGCAGCGCGCCGGCTGCGGCGGCCATTGGAGGGTGAACCAACGGCAAAGGAAGACCTTTCTCTCTGTCTCTCTCTCTCACTGTCCACTCTGCCTGTCAAAAAAAAAAAAAAAAAAAAGTAAATTTAACCCCAAATATATAAGGAACAATCAAGAAAATAGTAAACAAAGTAACAGAAAAAGAAATCAAAGCCTGATTTTTAGAAAAGTAAATAAAATTAACAAAAACATTAAACTAGGCCATAAACAATAGAGAGAAAGCATGATTTAGCTATCTCACAAATGCCTTACAGACATTAAAATTTTAATTTAATCAAGCAATTTCATGTAAATAAATTAGACAACTTAGACAAAATGGACAAATTCCTTGAATGTCACAAACTGCCAAAACTGACAATAAGAAATTTAAAAGCTGAGGCAGCATGGAGGTCGCACAGTGCAAAAACCACGAGCTGGCAGGAGTTTGTCAGAGCTCTGCAGCCTTCCTCAAACAGCCTGGGAAGCTACAAGTCTTCAAACAGGTGGCACAGCCAAGGTGGCCAAGCATAAAGAACTTGCTTCCTATGAGAACTATTTCTACCTGCTAGCTACTTCCACAATGCAGCACCAGAACCTCAGGGTGGCACCGGGACTGGTTCCATGACAATATCTACAGGAACATCAGAGAAACAGTGACATGCCCAGCCACTTCAACTAAGGCTCCAAATTGTGGCCCAGGGGTCCTCCAAGTCTTGGAGGGCCTGAAAATGGTGGAAAAGGCCAGATCGGGGCCACAAACTGACATCTCAGGTACAAAGAGATCTGGACAGAATTGTGAGACAGGTGGCAGCTGCCAACAAAAAGCAATAGAATAAATTATGCAGGGTTAATAAATTGCCTCTTTTCTAAAAATTAATTAATTAATTAATGGAACAACCATATATACGTCATATGTGTTAAAGTTTCTTGACTCCCAATCCACTCTTCTTTCTCCTGCCCTGTGATACTGGAGCTGGGTTCTGTGAACATTTCCTTGTGACATGTGGCACATTTAAGCTTTGTTATAAGTTACTGGAAGGACAATTCAAGGGGAGGAACTAATCTTCCAGGTCTCACCTGGCTTTTTGCTTCTTCCTTCTGCGGCAGATACCTGCAAGTTGCACTTGAAACACTCAATGAAGAACCATCTCCAGGGAGCAGTGGGACAATCAGTGACAAATACCATCTGTGGCCCTTTGCCAACACCCCTGAAGGTGGATTCCCAACCAGCATCACAAAGCAGGGCTTCCTGGTGTTTCAGCAGCACCCAGAACCAATGTCTCAACCCCACCCCACCGGCAGTACCAAGCTTGCCAATTCAAGCATGCAACATCTCAACAAATGTCTGTCATTCCAGGGTCACAGCCACATCATCTTCAAAGGACCTGAATGCCAGCCTTGTGAGGAGGACCTCTTCCAAATGTGCTCCCTGCTCGGGTTCCTCTACCCTGGTCAAGGGAGTGGCTGCTCTCTGTACTCTGGAGTTCTCTGAATCCCTCAGTGGAGCTTCTTCTGTTACTAGTTAACCACGCTTTATATTAAGTTTTCTTAGTGTGATTTCAGTCTCCTCATTGGACCCTGACTGATACAACTGGTGAGCTCAAAGATTCAAGAACCTCACAAACTCTTTCAGAAAATAAAGGAGGATTTCCCAACCACTTTTGAGCCATCTCAGTGTTGCCAAAACCAGACAAAGACATTACAAGAAAATAAAACTTGTCCAATATTCCACATGCGCATAGATACAAATGCCCTTAACCAAATACTGGCCTATTAAATTCACCAGTATAAAAACAGGGTAATAAACCCAACTTGATCATGCCATCTCCCAGGAAAATAAAGTTGTTTTAATATTTGAAAATAATATATCAGACAATGTGACCTCAGATAAACAGATTAGAGGAAAAACACATAATTATTAGATATAGAAAAAGCATTTAACAAACTTAACACTTATTCATAATAAAAAAAAATTTCAGCAAATTGGAAACAGAAGGAAAATTTCCAGTATAAAGGGAAGACACAAAAATGAAAAAGAAAACCAAAAATCTCTGAAACTAATATCACACTCAGAACACTTACTCAATGGTGAAAGACACTCTTCCTAAGATCAGGAATAAGACATCTGCTCTTACCACTTCTCAACATTGTACTTGAAGTCCTAGACAATAAGGCAATAAGGCAACATCAGAAATAAGGGAACATATCAGAAAGGAAGCAGGAAAATTGTCTGTATTTACAGATTAATAACTGAATATGTAGGGGCAAGCTTTTGGCTTAGCACTTGATTTCGAGCTCGGGTTCCTGACTAAGGTAGACACTGGGAGGCAACAGATGATGGCTCAAGTAACTGGGTCCCTGCTACTATCCACATGGGGGAAATGGATTGAGTTTCCAGGTCCAGTTTCACCCCACCTCATCCAAGTAGGTGTGGAGATGTTTGGGGAGTAGATAGGAACATATTTGTCGATCTCCCTCTCTCCCTTTCTCTCTCTCTCAAATAAACATTTTTGAAAAATATACAGAAAATACTAAAGAATTTACAGAAAGAAAAAGAACTAGTAATTGAACTTAGCAAGGCAATGGAATTGCTGGTCAACATACAAAAATCAACTATATTTCTATGTATGAGCAGCACATAATTGAAAAAGAAAACAAGAAAAAAACCACTATTTACAATAGCATAAAAACCAAAACACTAAAGGATAAATTTCAGAAAATATGTTCAAGATCTGTACACTGAAAACTTTATAAATTTCTGAGATAAATTATGAAAGCCTAAATACAAAAAGAGATGCAACTGCTCAAAGACTGAAGAGTCCATATTATTCAGATAATCAGTTCTCCCCAAATGGATACATAATTTAAATGTGATTGCAATCAAATCAGGTTCTTTCCAGAAAATAATCTGTAAAGTATTGGTTTTTTTAAAAAAGTGTATCTGGCATAGAAATCATTTATAATTTGTAAAAAACAACACAGGGGCCGGCAAGATATAGTGGGTTAAGTTGCCGTCTGCAGTGCTGGCATCCCATGTGAGTGCTGGTTCCACTGGATCCGGCTGCTCCACTTCATCCAGCTCCCTGATGGTGTACCTGGGAATTTAGTAGAGGACAAGGCCCCTGCACTCATGTAGGAGACCCAGAAGAAGCTCCTGGCTCCTGGCTTTGGACCAGACCAGTTCTGGCTGTTGTAACCATCTGGGGAGTGAACCAGCAGATGGAAGACCTCTCTCTCTCTCTGTCTCTCCCCCCCACCTCTCTGTAACTCTCCCTTTCAAATAAATAAAATAATTTTAAAAGAAAATACAAATTTTTAAATGAGTAAAACATTTGAACATTTTGTAAACCAAAATGAAAGATTAGCTGGTAAGTCCATAAAAATATGTTTAACATTTTTTCTTAAATTTATTTCTTTATTTGAAAGAGTTCAGAGAGAGGGAGAGACAGAGACAGAGAGAGATATTCCATCTGCCGGTTCACTCCCCTAGATGGTCACAATGGCTAGGACTAGGCCAGGCTGAAGTCAGGAGCCAGGAGCTTTAACTGGGTTTCCCATGTGAGTGGCAGGAGTCAAAACAGCTGGGCCACCTCCCACTGCTTTTCCCAAGCCATTATCAGGGAGCTGGATCTGAAGTGGAGCAGCTAAGATACAAAGTGATGCTCACATGAGATGCCAGGATAACATGCAGTAGCTTTACCTACTATGCCACAATGTCAGCCCCTCAACAATTTTACTCATCGGAGAAACCCAGCAACAATTAAGGGTTAAACTGAGAAAGAATAGGGGCTGGAACTTGGCCTAGCATTTTAGACACAGCTTGGGACATCACATCCCATAATGGAGTGCTTGGATTTAAAACCCAGCTCTGCTCCCAGTTCCACTTACCTGATAATATGCACCCTGAAAGGCAGCAGCTGATAGGTCAAGTAGTTGGGTCCCTACAACTTACATGACCTGCATTGAGTGCCTGGCTCCTAGCTTCAGCCTGACCCAGCCCCAGCCATTGTGGATACGTGGGAAATAAACCAGAGAATGCAAAATCTTTCTCTGCCTGCCCACCACCCCCGACCCTGCCCCACAAATAATTTTTTTAATTAGAAAAAACAACACTAAGCACAAAAGAAGATGGAGTAAGTAGAATTCATAAATACTGTTGATATAATTTGAAAAGTTTCATGGTTTCTAATAAGAATAAATATATATTTAATGTAAGACCCAGCAATTTCAGTCCTCAGTATTCATCCAGAAGTACTAAAAACATATGCCTACACAAAGATCTGCATGTAAATACTAATAGCAGTTTTATTTGTAATACCAGAGATTGGAAGGAACAAAAAACAAATCATGGTATATTTATCAAATGGAATGTTCTTGAGAAACAAGAAGGAGCAAACCATTGACTGACACACAATGGACAACTCAAAAGAATCTGTATATATGAAATACATGAAACTTGTATAACTTAGATAAAATTTTTTAGAAAAAATAAATAAAATAAAATTTTCTAACAGTCATAAATAAAAGCACCCTGCTAAGAGAAACCCTTCAAAAAATATCCTACAGGAAGGATCTCGGTGAGACCCCAGTGGAAAGAAGGGGCCATCAAAGGATGTACTTTTCTCTGAAGGGAGGAAAGAACTTCCACTTTGTTATGGCCATGTCCAAATACTGATGGAGTCTGTGGTCACAAAAGACTTCCATAGCCTCGGCAGCTCATGGCAAGAGCCTTGGATGATCACTGAGATCATAAATAAGAGTGTTAGTTATTAAATGAACAACAGAAGTCACATGCACTTACTTCCCATATAGGACCTCTGTCCTTAATGAGTTGTACTATGAGAATTAACTGCAAAACTTGTTCTCAAACTGTACTTTATATTGTGTATGTGTGCGTGTGTGGGTGGGTGAGTGGATGCAAACTGCTAAAATATATACTTAGCCCGGTTGCCTGTGGGGAGCAACTCGGACTAGACTGTTACTGGAATTAAGACTTATTCTATGCATCTGCTCTCCCACAATATGGCGCTGGGAGAGAAGAAAACAGCTTCTACGCAGCTGCCTCCAGTTCAACCAATAAACTGTAGGACTTGCTCCTGATTGGAGGAGAGCAGCGTACTCGGCGTGTGGGCAGCCAAGTTGGGATTGGCAGAGGAGGACTATAAAGGAGGAGAGAGACGGCATGCACCAGGAACATCTAAGGGGAACATCTAAGGGAACACCTGTGCAGCCCCCGAGAGAGCCGGCCGGCGGTGTGCCGCTCCCCTGAGGAAGTGGGGAATGTGGCCAGGGGGAACTGCCCTTCCACGGAGGTGGAAGGGACAGTAGCCAACCCGGGAAGAACCAGCAGCAAACCCGGGGAGGGTCGAGCAGACAAAAGAACAGCGCAGGGTCCTGTGTCGTTCCTCCACGAAGAGGGGGAGCAACATAATGGTGCCGTGACTCGGAAAGGAAACCTAGGACGGATTAGGAAACTTAGGAGGGAAGAAACGGGAAGAAGTGGAAAATACTGGAGAGAGAGACTAGCAAACAGCCTAGGGAAAAGCCGGACGAAAAAGGTGCCGGAAGGAGCTATTGAAAGCCTAGGCATAGACTCAGATACGGACTACGGGGGGAAGCTGGGAGAAATCTCTAAGGTTGAAAGCGAAAGTGAAAGCTAGAACAAACAGACTTGGATGCGGACTGTGGGGAGAGGCCGGGAGAAATGGGGGAGGAGTATTGTTGGAGGAAAGCTTGGGGAAACATACCGGGTAGAGAAAAATGTTAGGGAAATTGAAGCCGCGGGGGGCAGGCCAAGGCGGAGACGAAAGCCACTTTGGGATTCTCAGGTTAGCCCGGGGTTAGGGGGCGAAAAGTTAAAACCAGAAGCGGAAACGTAAGCCCGGTTGGGATCCGTCTGATTAGCCCGGGGAGCAAAGGACAGGTAGCCAAATCGTGGGGCGGAGACGTGAGCTGGGTTGAATTCGCCAGGTTAGCCTGGGGAACTTAGATTGAATGCTAGTGGCGGAGACGTAAGCTACGCTGTGTGACTCGTGGAGGCTGCCGTGCGCAGAGAGAGCGTGCGGGGCACAAGTAGATAGGGAACGCTGGGCTAGTGCGAGACCACGGAGTGTGCGCGCAAAGCCGAGCCGCGCGGATGGGAGAGGCGCGGGCTGAAGCGGCTCAGCCGGGAAGCCGCCGAGAGGCAGCCTTGGGGCGGGTGCCGGGAGGCCGCAGGGATAAGAGAAACAGAAGTTTTAGAAGTAAAATGAGAGAAATAGGAATGCTGGAAGATAGAAGTGAAATGGGAGAAATAGGAATGCCCGGAGATAGAGAAATAGAGAAATAGAAAGGCCTCCCCACAATACTGCAATGAGAAGGCTTGGATTCGGTCTGCCTGATTAGTGAGGCGATGAGCACCTGCGGGCGGCTAGCAGCTTATGCGCCGCAGGTCACCGAAGACAGGCACGTTATCAACACTAATAAGTCTCCCCCACAATACGGCAATGAGAAGGCTTGGATTCGGTTTGCCTGATTGTTAGGGCTTGTAAGCCCCTGCAGGCAGAGCAGAGCATGCGCTGCAGGGCACCGAAGACAGGCACGCATCAGCGCCTAAAAACCTCCTCACAACATGGCGAAGAGAGGACCCGGATTCGGTTTGCCTGATTGATAGGACTTGTAAGAACCTGTGGCAACTCTAGCAAGCAGAGCAGAGTGTGTGCCGCGGGACACCGAAGACAGGCGTGTATCAACGCCAAAAAATAAAAAGAAAGGGGGATCTGTGGGGAGCAACCCAGACTAGACTAAGTTACTGGAATTAAGACTTATTCTGTGCATCTGCTCTCCCACAATATGGCGCTGGGAGAGAAGAAAACAGCTTCTACGCAGCTGCCTCCAGTTCAACCAATAAACTGTAGGACTTGCTCCTGATTGGAGGAGAGCAGCGTACTCGGCGTGTGGGCAGCCGAGTTAGGATTGGCGGAGGAGGACTATAAAGGAGGAGAGAGATGGCATGCACCAGGAACATCTAAGGGGAACATCTAAGGGAACACCTGTGCAGCCCCCGAGAGAGCCGGCCGGCGGTGTGCCACTCCCCTGAGGAAGTGGGGAATGTGGCCAGGGGGAACTGCCCTTCCACGGAGGTGGAAGGGACAGTAGCCAACCCGGGAAGAACCAGCAGCAAACCCGGGGAGGGTCGAGCAGACAAAAGAACAGCGCAGGGTCCTGTGTCGTTCCTCCACGAAGCGGGGGAGCGACAGTTGCCCCTCTTCCAGGCCAGCTCTCTGCTGTGGCCAGGGAGTACAGTGGAGGATGGCCCAAATGCTTGGGCCCTGCACCCCATGGGAGACCAGGAGAAGCACCTGGCTCCTGCCATCGGATCAGCGCGGTGCACCGGCCGCAGCGCGCCGGCCGTGGCGGCCATTGGAGGGTGAACCAACGGCAAAGGAAGACCTTTCTCTCTGTCTCTCTCTTTCACTGTCCACTCTGCCTGTCAAAAAAAAAAAAAAAATATATATATATATATATATATATATACTTAGCATAGAGTTGGTCCTCTGTATAGAAAGTTAAACTAAAAATCAACCATAATTAAGAAGGGGATGGGAGAGGGAGTAATAGATGGGACGAGAGTTGGGGTAGGAGGGTGGGTAAGGGGGTAAGAACCATTATATTCCTAAAGTTGTACCTATGAAAAATGCATTCATTAAATAAAAGCTTTAAAATAAAAGAAAGAGAAACCCTTCATAGTAGTCCATAGCATATGATGTCATTATTGGATGTTTTGAAACAAAAAAACTGACCTATAATGACAGAAATCCTATCAGTTGATGCCTAGATTGATAGTGAGGGCAGCTGACAGCATGGGTGTACAAGAGAACTTTCCACAGTGATGGAAATGTTCAACAGCTTGACTGAAGAATTGGTTACATGAGTTTTTCATTTTTTCAAAACTCATTGAACTGTACACTTTCAATTAGAACATTTTATTGTTCATAAAGTATACTACAAAATTAGCTTTGAAAACATATAGAGATCTGAACTGGAAATAACTTAGACTTGGTTTTAATTTGAAATTTTTCTCTATTTTCTGACTTACTGCAGTAATTAGCTTTTGTCTTCTAAAATAATGTAAAACTTTATTGTATCTTAGCCTAGTTAGACCATTAAAAATTCCTAAGTGGTAGAATCAGTTCAATGAATAATTCTTATAAAGAATTCCAGAATTTACTTTGCCCGTGTCAATATTAGATTTTCTTCTGACAGCAACATTATGCTTAGATATAGACTACATGAGAAACACATTCTACCATATTTAAAAATATTTAGACTTTTAAAAAGTAAGTGCATCTAACTGAGCAAACATTAAAGGATGATCCAATTCTGTGAGCTACAGTAAAAAGCTAAGAGCCCTCCCCTTCTACACATGAGGAGATAAAAGCATTCATCAGGTATTTCAGCTGTTCCCAGTGCCACATGTGGGGACAGACCACAAAAGGCACAGTGAAACGAGACACAGGGAAACCACTATAATTCTGACTCTAGACTCACTTAGAGCAGTGGCTACATTTCATTTTCCTCCTTCTTCCAGCCACCTGGGAAAATGATCACAGACAGACATGGATTATAAGACTAAAAGCTGAAATCACAGGAATTAAAGAATACAAATAACCCAGTTAGTCTATTAACATTTATTACTGCAGAAATAGCTCTAGAGGTAGTTTATTAATGAGGCACTTTTCAAATCTTCCTGTAATTCTAAGAAAAGGCCATGAAAAGCATCATCTTAGAAAAGAAAAATAATTTTCTTGTAAGGATAATGTGTTAAGTGGTTTTCAAAATAAGCACTTCCAGTGTTCTTCAGCTTCCCACTGTAGCAGCTCTGTCTCATGACGGGAATTTCAGTTCACTTAGACACATGGTCAGTATTCACGAATATCTCTGGCGTGATCACATTAGAGCCACTGGAATGACTACTTGCAAATAACAGAGAGAGAGCTACCTCAGTTTAACACCAAGGTTTTGACATCTGAACCACCCAAACCACTGCTAAGGACAGGACCAGTGAGCAGTTTGAATTGAGGGGACACAGTAGATAGTGTTAAAGATCTTTTTGTAGTCTTCTGCAATTGGTTCTAGGAAAATCTTCCACAGGATCAAACAAAAATATATTATTCTCCCCATTTACTCATTATTTTCAGCCTCCAAAGGCCCATATATTGGTCCATCAAAACAAGAATGGGCTCTGAATCAAAACCAAAAAGAAAGAAAGGATATCCAAAGAGTTTTCTGTGATGTTCAGTATTAGCATGCAGCTTCCACGTGAAAGTTGTCAAATTGTGCAAATTCAAAGGAGTGAGTTCCAATCGCAGCCCAGCCATTCTTCGGGAACAATACATGGGTGTTATTCCACAGAGACTTGCCATCCAACATGCCAGAGGACAAATGACCCTGGAGTAGAGAGAAACACATCCCTTGAAAACATATGGAAATAATCTTCTGAAGTCTTGTTTCCTAAAAAATGCATAGGCCACCTACTTAGTGGAGCAAATATCTTTCTCACTCCAGACTTACCACAGTGAAACCCAACTCCACAAGTCTGGGCAAAAACTTGAAATACAGGGAATGTTCTGGGGGGAAATTCTTACCTTCCTATTTAAATAGCTCCCAAGGCCCAAGGAATTCCAGAATATTTCCTTGTGCTCCACAAAATGTAAAAACAACAAAAACTGTTCATAATATCATGAAGTTTTAGACAATATAATATCATAAAGTTTTAGACAAAAGTACACTAAATTTTTTTTTGCAAAATATTGCTATTTACAAGTAGTTGCATGTGCAGGTGTTGTGGCTAGCAGGCACCAAGGCTTCAGTGCTGGAGCTAAAACGTCTGCTCTACCTCGGTGTTCATGTAAGGTCCTCATTAAGGATCCTTGGCCTAGCAAGAAGAAGAGCAGTTACCTTTTGTTTAACTTTTTGTCCCCATGTATTTACTATTACCTCAAAGCCATATGAAATTTCTACCCTTAAACTGGAAAAATAGTAACCATCAGTTAACTCAGTGGTGGGGGGGAGTGGAATAAGAGCAAGATGCATATTGTGGTACTTCCTGTCCTCAGGCAGATGCCATGTCCTTCCTAGCTTAGTGTCTGGCACATGGTGCATGATAAATGTCAGCCATTCTTTTTATTACTGTAGCACATTTGAAAGCTTACATTCACAGCCTAACAATTAGAGCTAAATATTTAAAAATGGCTACTCTCAAATACTGAAGAGCTGATGATTCAAAGCACTAGGACAGGGCCGGCGCCACAGCTCACTGGGCTAATCCTCCGCCTTGCGGCGCTGGCACACCGGGTTCTAGTCCCAGTCAGGGTGCCGGATTCTGTCCCGGTTGCCCCTCTTCCAGGCCAGCTCTCTGCTGTGGCCAGGGAGTGCAGTGGAGGATGGCCCAAGTGCTTGGGCCCTGCACCCCATGGGAGACCAGGAGAAGCACCTGGCTCCTGCCATCGGATCAGCGCGGTGCGCTGCGGCCATTGGAGGGTGAACCAACGGCAAAGGAAGACCTTTCTCTCTGTCTCTCTCTCTCACTGTCTACTCTGCCTGTCAAAAAATAAATAAATAAATAAATAAACAAAGCACTAAGACAAGAAGCAAAATTAACCTGTTCTTAAGTCTTAGAATTATAATGCAATAGGCTTTCATTAGGTTCTTTTATTTTATGACACTGAGGTTCAACAAGATTAAAAGTCAAAGTCACAAAGTTACTACCAGAACTAGGATGTGACTCCAAGTCATCCAGCTGCAAATTCAGAGTCACATTCATATTACCAAACACCTGTATAGCTATCTTCAATCCTAAATATCCTTACTGAACATCCTTGTCACAAATCATCCTAAATACAAAGCTCATCCAATACTAATCTTCTCCTCCTCTTCCCTCTAGCATCCCAGGCTTCAGCTAGTCCTGTCTCTGAGAGGCCGCTTAGACAGGACCAGCCAGGCCTACTCTTGCCCCATTTGTGCAGTCTGCTCAGATTGTTCTTCATTGTTCAGGTCGAAGCTCAAACATCACCAGCTCAGCAAGGTGTTCCCCAACCTCCCTAATTAGATGATGACAGCAGGGGAGCTAATTTATCTCACTAGCCCACTTTTTTCTTCATAGTTATTTCTTTATTTGTAAGCTTACTGCTTTAGAACAGGGGTTGGGAAACTATGACCCACAGGCCAGCTACCTATTTTTATAAATAAAGTTTTCCTGGCACACACCTGTTCACTTATTTCCTCAGTAAGTGAAGTTGAAGGGCTACAACAGAGGCCACAGAGCCCACAAAGCCTCAAGTACTGACACTTTTGCCCTTGACAGAAGAAGCTTGCCTATCTCTTTCTAAGAATTTCTGCACTGAGAAAGCAGGAAATGTTATCAGGTTTGCAACCTGCTACAGCCCGAGCACTAAGGAAAGGTGCTTAACCAAAAGGTGTTGGATGAAACTATGAGACACATTTAGCTCTCGAGACAGCCTCACAGAGGGTAGCTCCACTTGATGGACAAGATAACAGCAGCTGGGAGAGGTGAAATAACCTGCTGGAGAGTCTCTGTATGTATCACCAAGGAAACCTGAATCTGGTTCCAACTATGCCTGCTCATAAGAATATTAACTTAGTTCATGAAGTTCTCACCATGCATCAGGTACTGTGCCAAGCTTTCATATATGGTATCTCATTTAATCTTCATGATGTTAGACAGGATGAGAAAAACTGAAGCTAAGTGACAGTAAATCCATGCAAGGGAAGCACAGACTTCAAAGTCTATCTTTCTAACCATTGTGACGCTTACGTGTGGGGATTAAGGCATCCGACATGTTCTGGGAAGAATGAAACAAATAGCCAATGTAAAAAGGATAAAATCCTCACATCAGCTATAATTTGGAGTATGGACAAGAGATGATGCTTGATAATTTTTTTTTTTTTTACTTACACAGCAAAGATTTAATACGTCAAATGCTGTTAGATGTTCTTGCAATTCAGAGATAACAAGAAAAGCAAAGACCCTATTCTTAGGGAGCTTACTTTTTAGTTGAAGGAGACACACAAACACAGTAAATGTGAGCTAAGCACTGAGAAAGGGGGTCAAGTATCAAAATACACTGACAAGATGATGAGTGCCTGAGAGATAGCTTGAGACTGGATGATTGGAAAAAGATTCTCAGAGTATGTGGCATACAGCTGAGAGATGCAAGGGAGAAAGAGAGGGCCCACAGATGACAGAATAAGAAATACTTGACAGCGGAGCAGTGCTGTGGTGCAGTGAGCTAAGCCTCCAGCTGCGGTGCTGGCATTCCACAAGGGCACCCGTTCTAGTCCCAGCTGCTCCTCTTCTGATCCAGCTCTCTGCTATAGCCTGGGAAAGCAGTGGAAGATGGCCCAAGTCCTTGGGCCCGTGCACCCATATAGGAGACCCAGAAGAAGTTCCCAGGAAAAATTAGGGAAATTCATTTTTCATATCCCACTCATGATTTTTAAAAATTCATAAAATCACCAAAAAAACCCTAATCAGAAATGTGCAAAAACCACAAAAACAAAACTCAAGGACATAGTGAAAGATCTCAATAAAGGGAGAAGATACAGCACATTCAGGTCATATTATTATTTAAAAAGGTATTTTCTCCACATTTATATATAAATTCAATGTAATATCAGCAGCACTTTCTGTAGAATTAAAAACTGCTTTCAAAATTCAAAGAGTAAATATACTAAAAAAGCAAAGATAATTTTGAAAAAGAAACAATAAAGAAGGTGCCCCCCTACACACAATATGCACTCATTTAACAAGAATCCACTGGGCTTTTGCTCTGACCATGCGCCAGGCATCTTCCAGGTGCTGCCGAGCAGCAGTGACTACCATGGAGACAGACTGGTCCCTGAAGGAGTGATTTCCACTGGAGGGAGCGGGACAACACACATGCAATCAATGGGATGTGGTGGTGTAAAGTGGTGACAAAGGCATCGGAGAAAAATTAAGTAATAGCAGGACGACTGGGAGTGAGATGAGTACTATCTTATATCAGGTGGTCAGAAGAGAATTCTGAAGGATGCAAGTAAAATAACAAAAGTTTTAGAAAGCTAACATAATTTAAAAATTATGTCAGACAATATGAGCACAGACAAAGTATAGAAATGAATCTTTGCACATACTTGAACCCCATTTTTAATATCTATTGCAACTTAAATAATATTATGAGATTATTTTGGGGAACAGCAACATTTACATGAAAAAGTTTCCCTATACAGCATCACTTGGAAGTATTGTCAATTAGAAACTCATGATAAGAAATAATTTTGATGGGGCCAGTGCTGTGGCATAGTAGGTTAAGCCTCCACCTGTAACACTGGCATCCCATATGGGCACCAGTTCAAGTCTCAGCTGCTCCATTTCCAATCCAGCTCCCTGCTAATGGCCTGAGAAAGCAGTGGAAGATGGCCCAAGTGCTTGGGCCTTTACACCCACATGGAAGACCCAGAGAAGCTCCTGGCTCCTGGCTTCAGATTAGTCCAGCTCTGGCTGTTGCAGCCATTTAGGGGTGACCCAGTGGATGGAAGACCTCTCTCTCTGTCTCCTCTCTCTGTTTGTAAAGTTTCCTCTCAAATAATTATTTTTAAAAAAAGAAATAATTTTGACAATTTTTAGATTTCCAGTATGCTGTGATTAATCTAATATCTTCTCTAACAAAAATATCTGTGGAAACCAACCTATAAAACCTGTTCTGAGAGTTGAAAACCGAACAAATTTATATGACTTTTTTTATACAAATAAGCTCTAATTATAGTCATGGTTCAAGTAAATTTGAATTCAATTATTCAATTATTGACTTTTCCACCAATTACTCCTCAGTTTAAAAACCAAAAACAAAATTTAAGAAAATAGTGGTCAGGATTCAGTCCTTGGCTCCCAGCTTTAACCTGGCCCAGCCCCAACTGTTGCAGGCATTTGGAGAGTGAACCAGCAGATAGGAAGTCTTTCTGCCTCTCAAATTAAAAACTTAATAAAAAATTAGTGGTATGATAAAGCTGACAGCTGGTGACTGCCATATGGGTTTCTCTGAGACCTACTGTCATCTGAAGGACAGGTGGTTGACTGGTTGCATGGCAGACTCCCTGCTGTTTCCATTATTTATCGTACTTTCTTCTTCCCTTGTTATCACAGAACATTCTAGAAAGGCACACAAAAGAACATTTTCCTTCCAGGCATTCTGATCAGCAACACTTACCTTAATAGTTAATGTCAGTGTATACCATGTTTTCTCCATAATTCTAACACGTCCTGCAGCATATACGATCCATCCAGCTGTAACACAAAGATCATCCTGACTGATACATTTTAAAATCTAAATCACAGAATCAAATAACTTGGTAGGAGTTCTGAGATAGCACTGATATATAAAGTCAGGCTTGATAGGGAACTATGGCCCATAATGTCCAGATCTATTACTGACTTAAAAGAATCCCTAACTCTGCCATGCATTCAGTAAGCATGTATTGAGATCTACTCCGAGCCACATACTATATGAGTTCACAGTAGGACTGGAAAAATCCACCACAGTACAATGTGTTAGCATCTGTGGCCCACATACACATTTATATCTGAAAGACAGAATATGTGGGATAAGAGGGAGCAAGAAATACACAAGATTCCTGCCTGGTGTAACTGCTTACACAATAACAGCATCCACTTAGAGGGGAAGAGGAATCAGTTGATTTTTGGATTTATTCCATTTGAATGCTTGGGGACAAACCCCAGATTAGGCAGTCCACAAAAGATACAGATTTAAATTCTTGCTTCCAATTCTGCCACTAACGAGTTTTGAAACTGGGCAAATCAATTAGCCTCTCTGGCTTGCTGTTTTGGATTAGAGAATCAGTGAGGTAACTTCTTGACCAGTCATGCTATGTTTTTACAACTCCTACTGTAATGTCCTTACCACCTATTACCTCTTTAATTTTTATTTATTGACAGAGGCAAGGCAAAGAGTAGCAAATTACCAAAGAGAGACTTTTTGATTATTGTAAGAAGAAATCAAGAATCAAGAAAAATCACCACCAATAAAGTCTAATTTCAATGCAGTGAATTGTACCAAAACCTATTGAACTGGATGCAGTTCAATTTGAGCACATTCTTTTTTTTTCTTTAAAATTTGAAAATGAAAGTTACAGAGAAAGAAGAAGAGGCAGAGAGAAAGAGAGAGAGAGAGGAAGAGGGAGAACACAAGCGAGCTTTCACCTCTGGTTCACTCTCCAAATGGCTGCAATGGTTCAGCAGAGCCAGGCCAAACCCAAGAGACTCAAACTCCACTCAGGTTTCCTACATAGGTGGTAGGGGCCCAAACACTCAGGCCTTTTTCTACTGTCTTCCCAGTCACATTAACAGGGAACAGGATTGGAAGCAGAATAGCTGGGACTTGAACCAAGGTTCATACGGGGGCCAGCATCATAGGTGGCAGCTTAACCTGCTGTGCCACAATGTTGGCCACAATTTGGGCACTTTCTAAATACCTATTGTACATAAAAAACTGTATAAATGAGAAAAGTACCATATAAGTGAGAAAAGTAGAGGCATTTTCAAGTACAAATTAGAAAACAGGATTTCTTCATTTTAAGTAGATCAATCCCTTCCCTACTATTTTCCTAAGCACAGTGGCAACAATTTTATGGTCTTGTTTTTGTTCATGATGTTTCTTGGGTACCCTCTCCCTCCCACAACCACCTCACCCCAGATCATACAACTACACACACATAGCCCAGCTCACTTCTCCAATCCCCTAAAAAGCTTTCTACAATTATTTTCTCTTTAACTGAAATGCCTATATCTATTCTAATTAAGTAACTCTATACTGTGCATTATTTGGTATTTGGATGCATATGCTGAAGATCTTCGCAATAAGATGTCCCAACACCTTGAGGTAAAGTGCTCTTATCATGCCCATAAATAAGAAGCAGGTGGTCAAAATAAAATATTACATAAAAAGTTACATACCAGAGCCAGCAATGTGGTACAACAGGTTAAGCTGCCATTTGCAACTCTGGCATCTCATAGCAGAATGCCAGTTTGAGTCCCTGCTACTCTACTTCTGATCCAGCTCCCTGTTAATGTGCCTGGGAAAGCAGTAAAATGATGCCTCAAGTCCTCGGTTCCCTGCCACCCATGTGGGAAACCCAAACAGAGTTCTTGGCTCCTGGTTTCAACCTGGCCCAGTTCCAGCTTTTGTGGCCATTTGGGGAGTGAATCAAGGGATGGAAGACCTCTGTCTCTCCCTCTTTCTCTATAACTCCGCCTCTCAAATAAACAAACAAATAATTTTTAAAAAGTCAAATGCTGGGGCCGGTGCTCACTTGGTTATCCTCAACCTGCGGCACCAGCATCCCATATGGGTGCCAGGTTCTAGTCCCAGCTGCTCCTCTTCCAGTCCAGCTCTCTGATGTGGCCTGGGAGGGCAGTGGAGGATGGCTCAGGTGCTTGGGCTCCTGCACCCTCATGGGAGACCAGGAAGAGGCACTTTGGCTCCTGGCTTCGAATCGGCACGGAACCAGCCATAGTGGCCATTTGGGGAGTGAACCAACGGAAGAAAGACCTTTCTCTCTGTCTCTCTCTCTCACTGTTTATAACTCTACCTGTCAAATTAAAAAAAAAAATCAAGTGCTATGAGAGATATTTATTACTCACCTAGATCACCTGTGACTCTGTAAGATCCATTTGCAAAAATCCAGAAGAAAATTCCTTGGGCACTTCTAATCAAAGTACCACCTTTATTTACTCTTCCTGCGATGAACACACCCCCCACCTCAGGAGTCTCTATGTAAACATCACACCTTATAGTCATATTGCTCCTACAGAATGAAACAGATGATTAGAATTCTTAAATTTTGACACTCTTAATGTAGCGCAAATATGTCATTTCACAACAAATGCTTCCAAACTTCTGATTGAGGCGAGCACGTGATTTGCTAAGTCTGAACTTGCAATCGGAGTGGGCTTCAAAAATATTCATTGATGACAGTTTTAAGTTTTACATGATTTAAATGGAATAATTTTGTTACTTTCTTTAATGAGCTATTAGAGAATAATATTGTTTTGAAGTTTCTTTTTTTTTTTATTTTTTGACAAGCAGAGTTAGACAGTGAGAGAGAGAGACAGAGAGTTATAGACAGTGAGAGAGAGACAGAAAGGTCTTCCTTCCATTGGTTCACTCCCCTAATGGCCACCACAGCCGGTGCTGCGCAGATCCAAAGCCAGGAGCTGGGTGCTTCCTCCCGGTCTCCCATGCAGGTGCAGGGACCCAAGCACTTGGGCCATCCTCCACTGCCCTCCCGGACCACAGCAGAGAGCTGGACTTGAAGAGGAGCAACCTGGCACTAGTACCCAGCGCCCCAACCGGGACTAGAATCCGGGGTGCCAGCACCACAGGCAGAAGATTAGCCAAGTGAGCCATGGTGCTGGCCCAAGATTTGAAGTTTCTTAAAACCTATATCTTGTCTCTCTATAATAAAACTTCTGTTCCTCACCCCTGTCTTGAATGAAAGATGCCAGTTTTTTCTAGGAACACATAAAAAATAAAGTTTCCACGGAATTCTGAACAGGTTTATTCACACTTCCATCGGCAAAGAGAAGCAATGCAGGCAGTGCTAGTGCCCTAAGGGAGAACTTCAATTACTGTATCTGATTCAGCAGGTTGGGGGCTCCTTGAATTTGCTTGTCTAGCAAATTCTCATTGAGAACTGTTTTCCTCTACAGAGCAGGTCTCCCCATGCACAGGCAATAAAACCCTGGTTCTAGGCTCATTGATCCATGAAACTGTCTATCAAACAAGGGAAAAGATTCAGCCAACGAGGAACTACTAGAGCTTCTATAAGGAGCTCTCCTCAAGACTGCATTTTTAAAATGCTACCAGATACAACTCTACTTCTGGCATGACACAACCAGCCTGAACCAACATGATCCCTGAAAATAACTGACTTCCTACTCAATATTTAACTGTAAGTGAGAAGAAAAAGAAAGCCTGCAGATAATCAAGCGATAAATCAAGTAATTTATCTAAAGTAAGGCTAAGAAAGTCAAGAAATCTATTTTCAAAGTGTGGGGGAGACTGAATCTAGAATTATGTGGCTTTTACATTTCTGAGTTTCTTCTAATCAGTGAATTTTGCACAATGGAATTTTAGGACATAAAGGAAAATCTGAAAAAGGAAGCACTTACAACAGGTACATAATCAGAAAGATGGACCTTTAATTATCTAATAAGAGCTGGGCTTTTTTAAAATATTTATTTATTCATTTGAAAGGCAGAGTGAGAGAGAGAGAGAGAGAGAGAGAATCTTCCATCTGCTGGTTTACTCCCCAACTGGCTGCAACTGTCAGGGCTGGGCCAGGCTGAAGTCAGGAGCCAGGAGCTTCTTCCAGGCCTCCCACATGGGTGGCAAAGGTCCAGGTACTTGAGCCATCTTCCATTGCTCTCTCAGGCACATTAGCAAGGAGCTGGATCAGAAATGGAGCAGGGGCCGGCACTGTGGCTTAGTAGGTAAAGCTGCTGCCTGCACATCGGTTGGAATCTCGGCTGCTCCACTTCTGATCCAGCTCTCTGCTATTGGGGAGTGGGCCAGTGGATGGAGGACCTCTCTCTTTCTGCCTCTGCCTCTCTGTAATTCTGCCTTTCAAATAAATAAATGGATAAAGGAGAGGAGAGTAGAGGAGGGGAGGGGAGGGGATGGGAGAGGAAAGGAGAGGAAAGGAAGGGAAGGGAGGGGAGGGGAGGGGAGGGGAGGGGAGAGGAGAGGAGGGGAGGGGAAAGGAGAGGAGGGGAGGGGAGAGGAGGGGAGGGGAGGGGAAGGGAGGGGAGGAAAGAAAGAAAAAGAAAGAAAGAGAGAGAGAGGTAAGGAAGGAAGGGAGGGAGGGAAGAAATATCTTTTAAAAAAAGGGAGGAATTGAAGTCACAAGCTAACTAAAGCTGATTTACTTTTTACTATTGCCATCTACTGTCAAGAGGTAAACAGATTTTCTGCAAAAGCTAAGACAGTGTAATTTTATTATTGATCCAGCAGAGGGCAGCCATATATCAAGAAATTAACCATCCAATAAATCAGAAAAGGAAAACATGCAAATCAGTCTATTTATAAGTAAATATTATAGTTGAATCCAAAAGTCTTCAATTTTTATATTAAAATCAAACTTCTCCTGCAATAATGAGTATTGGAGTATTTAATTTGGAAAATCTGAGGAAACGATACTATATATACAATATATTGGTACCTGCCCATAGTTCCTGGCTCACAACTCTCTCCCCAGGGCAAGCCAAGTAAATGCAATAAGTAGCTCCTAAGTCCCTGCTTATTCCAGAGGGGACTTGCTCCACACCCTGGAGGAAGGACAACTAAAGAAGCTGAACACACCAGCCTGGCTAAGTTTCCCTACCCAGTCCTTTCGCCATCACGCCTAGGCAGTGAAGTCTCAAAAAAACTCCTAAAGAGTTCCGAGAGCTTCTAGAGATGTGGTGCCCTTTTCCTATACCTGACCCTAAAAATCTCTACAACTGTACCCTTTGAAATATCTTTTGTAATAAGCCAGTAAATGAGTAAGCATTTCCCCAAGTTCTGTGAACTTTTCAAGCAAATTAACGGAATCCAAGGAGGTGTTGTGGAACCCAAGATGGGGTCGTGGGAATCACAGATAAAACCACCAAGGGTTTGAGAATAGCATCTAAAGCAGGGAGGGAGTCTTGGAGACTGAGCCCTAAACCTGTGGAACACTATCTCCAGGTAAACAGTGTCAACGTCAAACTGAATTAGAGGGCACCCAGCTAGGATCCACTGCAGAACTGATGGATTGCTTGCTGGTGGGGAGAAATCCCCATAGCTTTTGAGATCACAGAAGTGATTGGTGTTGTGAGCATACAGTAGGAGGATCAGAGTCTGGGTTTAAGGTAGCTTTTCCTTTCATATTTCCAGGGGCAGCAAAACAATTTCCTGATTTGTGGCCACCACGATATTCAACAATTACTACACACCTGCAGTCTTGGACAAGGAGATCCACTGAAATCTTTGCTTCAGAAGGACTCAACAACACTACAAATTATCTCAGCCAAATCCACACCAAAGATACCAATCTTACATACCATTTGTAATCGCCTATGATACTGATGGTGTTGGATGCATCAGCAGCCCAAGTAATGGGTCGTTGATTTAGAACCTGGCGTAGTGTGAAGCGATGCTCTCCAGAATCTTCAATATTGGTATAATATTCAAATACACCAGTCTGATCAGCAAAATTTGGAGCTTCGCTAAAATATGGATAATCTGTTTGGAACATAATGAGTCCTCTGTTTAGTATCAAATCCTTTCAGAATCTCTCCCCTCTGACATTTTATGAGATATTCAATACACCCTTGGAACATTTTTAAATAAGTAAATATTACTTATAACCAAAGTTCAGGGTTTAAGTCTTTAATAAAGAGACAATGACTTTTTAATATTGTCATTATTAAATATCAAGCTGATGGGTTTGAGATATAGATTCTGTGTAATATTTATTACATGCATTAGATTATTAGTATTGGGGTAGGTCAAAGCTAGATTTAAATGCTAGCTCAGTCTGTCACCTGGGAAAGCTATTTAACTATCATGCACCTTAAGTTTCCTCATTTCCAGGCGGGCAAGAGGACAGCAGAATTGAATGAGAAAATGTACAAAACATGTACATAAGATAGCACCTAGCAAGGTGAATTATTTTGTTATTTCTAATGTGAGTATTTGTCAAAAAAGGATCCAAATTACTGCTCATAATCATAAACTCAGAGAACACTGGAAAAGGCACCTTATCAAGTACAGAATTTATAAATTATCTTCTGCTTCTAAAATGTACCAAACCAGTTTGGGACCTAAGCTATCAATCCTCTTCCAATTTTATTAAATTAAATTATAGTAATGAAGTCTATAAAAGAACAATTTTAGTCATAATATTTTACAGCCATTTCTACTTCATGCTTTTCCAAGTGTGTTCATATTCATTACCTCATTTGAGACATTAAGAACTCCATTATGATGTTCCAAAGCCTGGCTTATAGTTTTTAACTTTAATTTTTAGCTTCATTTTATGGCCAATAAAAGTATGGCATTTTAGATTTGAAGGTTTAGAACTGCCTCAGTCTTCAGGTCACAGAAGAATGTTCTCGTGTCAGCAGAAGTCTTTCCGTGTTGTTAGCTGTACCATATCCCACACAGACACTTCATCCACTGAAGCTGTCCTGTTAACTTTGCCAGTTGAGCCACAGATTTCTGGGAGATTTGTGTGGAGCAAAATTAATGGACTCATCTAAGAGATCATTTCAAAGAGTTTTAGGAAAACAAACCATCAAGTTCCCCTGAGGCTCACTGTTGTCTATGTTGCCCAAATAGTTGAGAAGACTCTAGTATACATGCCAAGGGGCCTTATACTCCAGTCAACTGGAAGATCATTTCCCAGGAAATGAGCTGGGACCCTACAGCAGTAACTGGAAGGGGTGGTAGTGCTGGGTAAGAAGACAGAAATAAGCCTTTGTGTGTGAAGGGGCCTAAGAAAAGCAAAGCACTTGCAGAAAGGAATGTATCAGCCTCAGAAGCATACCTTGGAAGCAGCCCAGTATTTTACACTACAAACTCCTGCTCATATCCCAATAACTTTATAGGTGTTCCCAACCTCTCCACCACTCAAGAAAAACACCCCTGGAAATGCTCTTTGCCCAGTGCCAAGCAGGTTATCCAGTCTAACAGCATTGGGTAATAAAACCTTAGGAGGAATTTCACCAATTTCATACCCAAGAAACCCTTTGTCCTGGAAAAGTGGGGGGCGGGGGGGGGGGGAGCAGGAGAAACAGCAGGAAGAACTGGATCCCATTCCCTTAATAAACCCCAGCCTGAATGCAAACCAGGGTCTCAGTTCTTTGCTGAGATGCCCACCTGGCCTGACAAGTGTATTCTCTCTATTAAAGTTTGTAAATTGGTTTACCCAGTCTGAATGACTGAATACCCTCTCTCAGACTTGTCTGGAGAGGTGCCTATCTCTTCTGATGGGTACACTAACTCATTAAACTTTGCTACCTTGCTTATCACTACTCTCTGCCTCACATCTGAAATTCTTTTCTTACTGGAAGATAAGAACCTCTATTCCAGCCATCTCCGCTAACAGTGGGAGTCTCCATTTCTGAAGGAACAACCATGCAGCCAACAAGAGGTTCAAGATACTCTCTAGTGAAGCCAGTTCCCACCCTTTCATTTTTCCACAATTACTGGTTTTAGGAACAGATAATGGAGCCATCCATCTGTCTGCAAGACCCACAAGCCTACACAACACCTACTGTCAACAAATTTTGTTGCTAACTGAATGACCTAAGAATAGAACATATAGGGGCCAGCACTGAGGCATAGTGGGTAAAGCTGCTACCTGCGGTTAGGGTTAGGGTTAGGGTTAGGGTTAGGGTTAGGGTTAGGGTTAGGGTGGGTGCCAGTTCAAGTCCCAGCTGCTCTTCTTCCAACCCAGCTCTCTACTATGGCCTGGAAAAGCAGGAGATGGCCCAAGTCCTTGGGCCCCTGCACCCACATGGGAAACCTAGAAGAAGCTCCTGAATCCTGGCTTCGTATCAGCCCAGCTCCAGCCATAGTGGCCATTTAGGGAGTGAACCAGCATATTGAAGACTTTCTCTCTCTCTCTCTGCCTCTGCCTCTCTGTAACTTTGCCTTTCAAATAAATAAATCTTTTTTTTTAAAAAAAAGGAATATAATACATCTTCTAATTTTTTCCAGTTTTCCCAAATTATCCATAATCCAAAGCTTTTCTAACAGTTTTAGGGCAGATCCCCCTGTAACACCAGGAGAGTTCTAGTATTCGTGTAAACTCCCCTGCGCAGCTAGAGGCTACATAATGAGCTGTGTTATCTGAGGAGAGCAGAAGTTCCCATAAGTACCTGCTTCACCAGCACCATGGAAAGCCAGAAACAAATGAGCTTTAACCTCCAAACAAAAGGAAGATGCCAAGAATGGCTACCAGGAAATAGCAAAGTCACAAATCTTAAGTTTTACCAAGTTAGAATTAGAACTTTCATTCTGACAATGATCTCTACATTTTTCCTGGCACTAAAAATACAGGTTCTTTAAGTTGAGATTTACCTATACCTAGAGATCTGAGAGCTAAACGAATGTGCTTTTTGACAACCACTCCATCACACATTTAATTTGACAGGTAGAAATCAACCTACGACTGCTAAAAATAGAGATCAAGTTATGTTTTAAGTGAAAAATACTTACCATCATCGAAATCATCCGTGTAGGTGCATGGGAAGGGCTGGGATTTTGGAGGCAGTGGGTAGCTGCCTTTGCGACCTGTGGTGAGAGTGGTGAGTGTGAACAGCTCATCCTCTTGAAGTTCCAGTGTGAATTTGCCATCACTGTCGCGGAGCTGAAAAAGACAGCACCACTACATTTAGGGCCAGGTGCTAGCACTCATTCGAACAAAATAGCTTTCAAAACACTAGGCTTAAGGAAAAGCTCAACTCATTTCTCTTAGAACTTCTTAAACACTTGCAAAAGGCACTGACCAATAATAAGGCCCTTAGAATCTTTTTGTCTTGAGTGAAGACTTTACAAAACTATATTTGGATTTCTAAAGAATTTCACTTCACAGAGGGAAAAAAAAAAAAACTAGATACCCAAAACTATTTCTATGAGCCTATTTTTCCCCCCTTACACCATTAGCTTTTTAAAACCTATGTATATCAATACATACAAATAAGAAACCTGCTTATTCCTGCTTTGGGATTTTAGTAAGGTACAAAAATCCATAAAACTTCACTGTTGACTTAGGTATTAAACACATAAAATGTTTTACAATTGAGAAAGAAAAATTCTGCTCATTATACATTCAATACATAGCCCAATGAACAAGTTAAGTTTATGTCAAATTTATGATTTAGCAACTTAATTTATGTAAATCACAATCTCTTCATCTACAACCTCACAGGACTGCTGTGAAGATTTAACCAGATACTGGTTATAAATCAGATATTGTTGAGCTCAGTGTGTAACCAACAGGAAACACTCCCTATCCTATGTCATAGTTGTTTTATGCTAAATGTAAACCTCTGAAAACACTGAAATACCTTTCAGAATTAAAGTAGGCATTAGATTTATGTCCATTACATAAAAAACTGAGATTTTATTTTCTTCTTTGAATTAAAGGTTTTTTTAATCATATCTTTGCTTTAATAACAAATTAATGTTTAGATCTATGAAATACCTAATACCGTATTCTGGCTCAGGAATAACCACAAATGATACTCTCCTTTCTAGTGGGAAAAGTTAATCTCATTATGTCATTGCTAACAACTTGTTATACAAAAAATAGAGACTTCTTTTTTTAGAACTTAATATATATAGTAGTAGCTGATTATAAGAACATTAATTATTATAAGAAAAATGGCAGATTTGTATCAATTAGGTGGAATAATGTGCTTGCTTAAGCCAATTCATTCTCAGAAACCTTTCCTGAGAAACCACCATGTGCTAAGCACTGTTGTAGACACGAGAACTATAAAACCAAAAAAGGCAGAGCCCAATCCTCAAGGTATCTAATGGAGAAGAAAAAGTGTTTAATTCGACAGGCACATAATCCTAGATGGTTATGCACTAAGAAGGTGGAGACAGCCTCAGAGGAAATGATGCCTAAGCTGAATCTTGAAAGAGAAAAAGGTACCAGGAGAAGCCATTCTAGGGGAGGACAGGGCATGTGCAAAGTCACAGAGTTAAGCAAGCAGGCCTGCCATGCTTTGAAAATGTAAGATGAGTCTGTGAGGAGAGGCCAGGTAGTAGGGCATGGGTCTAGGAAGGAAAGCAATCCACTGAGGCACCCTGAGCAAGGTACTGACAAAATCCAGTTCTGCATTTCAGACACACTGCTCTGGTACCAGTGTGGTGGGCAGCCAGGTGGAAGGCCGGGAAACAGGAGGAAGTTTCTGGAACCTAGGAGAGCAACAAAGAAAAACTGAGACAGGCAGTACGAGTGGGGATGAAGACTGAGGAATGAGTAAGAGAAATCCATGGATGACAGAAGCATCTTCTGTACCCCATCATCGATGTGATACAGAGGATGCGTGAGTAATACAGAGTCTGGAATGAGGCTTGAATCTGAGTGGGATAGCCAAATGATGGCAATACCATGCACCAAGATAAGCTAGTACTGAGAGAAAAACACCCCTAAAAACTTCTGTACTGCCTTCAAAAGAAGTTCTAGAAAAGAAAAACACACAGTTGGGGACAACTTTATTATGCTTCAGCTATAAATTACAATGTTAAAATTTTTGAGGCAGTTGTTGTGGCACAAGCAGGTAAAACCACCACTTGAGATTCCCACATCCCTTACTGGAGTGCCAGTTCAAGTCCCAGCTGCTCCACTTTCAACCTAGCTCCCTGTTAATGTGCCTGTGAAGCAGCAGATAATGGCTTAAGCACCTGAGTCCCTGCCACCCACATAGGAGACTTAGATGGAGTTTTACTGTTGCAATATGGGAACTTATTTTAAAACTACCCATAGTGAATCCAGTTGTTTGAAAAGATATCTCTCAGATGATTTTCCAAGTTTAGTATACCACACCTGTAGCTCTGGTATTTCACTCTGGGGAGAAAACACAAAAAAGCAACATTGAGTAATTCATAGGACCCTCTGAGGATTTCTAAAATCAGGATCAGTGAGAATACACTAATGGCAATATGCACTCCATTTCTACTTAGCAAAAGATCCACCTCAAATTTTAAATGGTAACATACTGTATTTCAAATAAACAGCAAAGAATCTTGGCAAATGTTAAAAAATATTTTAGTGTATTTGCGCTAAAACTCATTATTGTATCTGTTGAAAACATTTTTTAAAATTTTCCTGGCATTAAAAAATAATTCTTTCACCATTAGTAGCCAGAAAAGGCATTGTGTTTTCTCAATTCAAATATAATAACAGGTAGAAATAGCAAGAATCCGGTGCCTTTTGTTTTGTTTTTTGGTGTAGAGAACTGAAAAGATCAATGCTTGGAAGTTCCTTCACCACACAGTGGAGGGCTACCCATCAATAAAAACTTTCTTAGAAGCTCCAAGTGTTCCCCAAAGCCACAGAGAGCATTGCCTCCTACTGGCTTATGACCTGTTTGATTAAAACAATCAAGAAATGGAAGACAACAGGGCACTTGTCCATTCATATGCAAACTGCTAATATTTCATAACATAAGACTTCACTTAAGAATGGCTAACCTTCAATAGGATACATAAGTTCTCAAATCAAAGCACAATGAAAGTCAGATGTTTACTTACAAAAGATCCCTTAAGAAAAAAGGTAGCAAATTGTTTGGACACGTTGAAATAAGGAAGAATTGGTCGTATACATTCAGATTGTCTACGACTCTGAGGAGACAAAAAATTACCTAAGTTATCCAAATGATGTACATGCTGTTTTCATGGGGGTAAAAATTAAATAGTTAATGCCCTAAGATTAATAGAAATGAGGGTGGATGTGTGGCAAAAAGATTAAGTTACCACTTGGGACACCCACACCCCATACAGGAGTGCCTGGATTCCAGTCTTGGCTACTACTCCATTTCCAATCAAGTTTTCCCACTATGTACATCCTGGGAGACAGCAGAGTACTTGAGCCCCTGCCACTCACATGGGAGACCTGGAGTGAATTCCTAGTTTCTGGTTTCAGCCTGGTTCAGCCCCAGCTATTGCAGGCTTTTAGGGAATAAACCAGTGGTTGGGATACGTCCCTTTCATCTCTCTGTTTGTCTCTCTCCCTCAAAATAAATAAATAAGTAAATAAATTTTTGAATATTAATAGAAATGTAATATGTAATGTAACAAATACAGGATTATTTTGAATTTTAGAAGCCTTTTGTTAAATGTAACTTTTATTGAATGTGTTTTTGTATGTGCCTAGTCAACAATAGCATTTTAACTGACTCAAGCTTTGGATTCATACCTAAATTCCAGATAACATTTATGGTACACACAGGTTACTCTTTATTATAATTATTTTCCAAGTAAAATCCATCAAATAAAATGTAAAAGCATCATATCTAAATATGAGTATAACTTTCAAATACATACTCAATAAGGTTAGCTAAATATGTATAACAAATAGTTCTCATTCATAGTTACTACTATGAACTGGGATCAAAAGAAATATGAGACAAAATTCCTACTTTAGAGAGTTCAACAATCACAGAGCATTTATAATACAAGGTTCTGTACCAGGCTTTGTAGACAATAAAAAACATGTAATCATAATTAGACATTTTACTATTCCACTTCGAATCATTGATAGGCAGGGAGTCAGAAACAAAAGAGCTGGGGAGTTTCCAGCAGTCTCTGTGTCTTGTAGCCCTTCATTCTTAACTCTATCCCCTTGCAGGCCAAATTTGTCACACACACACCTTCCTATGATGCACCTGAGTCTCTTCCATCATGAAGAAGATGCCATGACGAGCCCACGTACATTAAGCTGCACCTGGAGATACCATGAAAACTTTCCCGAGAATCCTGCCCAAACTCCATCCCATTTGCATATTTGATTAAGATATCATCTCCTACCCAATAAAGGGGGCAACTAAACTGGGGAGGGGAGCATTTCTCTCTGTATGGGCAGATCCTTCTCATGGCATGTCTCTCCTCTTGGGGCTGCCCACATTCATATACGAATTTCTACCTTCTCCATCTCTCTCCCTTTAAATAAATCCTGCTCCCATGCTTTCACTTTATCTATGTCTCTGCTTTAAATTCTTACCTCATGGGGAAGTGAGAACCTGGAATAAATACAGCTGGGAGCCTATGCCATAACAATAGTATAATAAGACAGAAAGTCAGCATGGACACGTAACTTGCTTTGACTGACATTTACAGATCACTCTGTCCAGTCTCAACAGAAAATACTCTCTTTCCAAGCACACAAGGTACACCATATTCTTATCAATAAAAGAAGTATTAATAAATTCAAAAGATTTAATCATACAACCCTGACAGACCATATAGAATTAAATAAAAAACAAATAACAGAAGAACCTCTGGAAATTTCCAAAAACTGAAAACAAAAGTTTTCATTTTTAATTTTTTTAAAAATTTTAAGCTTTTATTTAATAAATATAAATTTCATAGATACAGCTTTAGGAATATAGTGGTTCTTCCCCCCATACCCACCTCCCACCCCCACTACAAGTTTTTAAATAGTCCATGGGTCAAATGAAAAATAAAGATACTCAATGAAATAACAGGTAGAAATTCCATAGATTTCATGAAAAAAAGTAATCTATAAAGCCATGAAGCTTAAAAAAAAAACTCCTAAAGTAAAGGCAAAGAGATCTGCACATTGCCATATCATAGTAAAAATGCTGAAAATCAAAGAAAAGAAAAAAAATCTTGAAAGCAGCAAGAGAAAAAAATGACTTCATCTCTTACAAAGACATATTAATAATATTTAGAGTTGATTTATCACCCAAAACAAGGGAGGATAACATGTTTAAAGTGCTGACAGAGAAAGACTGTCAACCAAGAATCCTATATTCATCAAAACTACCTTTCAAAATATAAAGGCGAAATGAGGATATTCTCAAATAAACAAAAGTTGAATTTGTTGATAGCAGAAGCAGCTTTCACAAAATACTAAAAGAAGTACCCAAAGTTAAAAGCACATGACCCCAGACAGTAATTCATATCCACACAAAAATTACTAGCAATGTTAACCATGTAATCATAAAAGACAGCAAAAACGCATACTCCTATTTTTCACATAACTGATTTTAAAAGTACTTTAAGAGACAACATGTACATAATTGTGTTTCAGACTTACAAAAAACAAAGATACAATACTACCAATAACAGCACAAAAAAGCCAGGTAGAAGAAAAGCTGTATTTAAAGTAAAGAAATGACACAAGATGACAATTAAAATCCATAGAAAATGAAAAGAACAAAAAAATGGTAAATAAGATTAACAGAATAAACACTATAAATAGTTTTTTCTTCTCTCAGCTTTCTAAAAGAACATAAATTTATATACAGAGCAATAATTATAACAATGTTAGATTTATAAGATAGAGGTGTGATGTATATGACAATAATAGAACAAAAAGGGGGTAAGAGAATAGTGTAATATATGATACTGCTTCTATATCTCACTGGAATCCAGTTAGTTTAACTCTGAAGTGATTCTGATATTTCAGACATGTATGGTAAGCTTCAAAACCACCAGTAAAGAAATAACTCACAAGAATATAGTGAAAAAAATAGTTAAAGGAATTAAAATGTTACATTTTACATTCACTTATGCAAAAAAGAACAGTAAAGTTGGAAGAAAAAAACATGACACATAAAGAAAAAAAGTCATAGATGTGAATCAAGCTATATCAATATTATATTAAGTGTGATTAGATTAAACCATTCACAAATTCAAACTAAATACAAGACCAATATCCAACTTTTTGCTATTGAAAGGTGACAAACTTTAGATTCAAAAATATAAAAATAAACTGAAAGTAAAGAGAGTCAAAACAAATATCCTACTAAAAGGAAAAACAAGAAAGTGGTAATGGCTCAAATAATGGCAGACTAAACAGACATAAAAATGAAAAAAAAGGGGCCAGGGCTGTGGCATAGCAGGTAAAGCCACCACTTGCAGTGCCAGCATCCCATATGGGCACCAGTTCAAGTCCCAGCTGCTCCACTTGTGATCCAACTCTCTGCTATGGCCTCGGAAAGCAGTAGAATATGGCCCAAGTCCTTGGGCCCCCATACCTGCATGTGAGACCTAGAAGAAGCTCCTGGCTCCTGACTTCAGATTGGCTCAGCTCTGGTCATTGCAGCCATTTGGGGAGTGAACTAGCAGATGGAAGACCTGTCCCTATCTGTCTCTGTCTCTGTCTCTGTCTCTCTCTCTCTCTCTCTATCTCTCTCTCCCTCTGCCTGTCTGTAACTCTGCCTTTCGAATAAATAAATAATGTTTAAACAAAAACATAAAAATTTCTTAAAAAAGCAAACTAAACCCAAAATAAACAGAAGAAAAGAAATACTAGAGTGAAAAATAGAAAAAAATAACAAAAACAAAAGTTTAAAACAATTGCTGTGGTTGTCTAACCAAGAAAAAAAGAGAGAAGACTCAGATTACTAAAAGTAGGAATGAAATAGGAACATTTTCTACCAACCTAATGTAAATAAAAAAGAGAATACTATGAACAATTATATGCAGATAAATTAGGAATGATAGATAAAAAAGATAAATTTGTAGGAAATTCCAAACTACCAATCTACTGAAGAAGTAATATGAAATATGAATAGACCTATAATGAATAGACCTTAAAGAAGTAAACCAAAACTTTCCTGAAGGGAAACTCAGGATCACATAGCTTCACAGAGGAATTCTACAAAAGACTGAAAGAATTAATCCTCCACACATTCTTCAAAGAAAATTTCACAAATCATTCTGTAAGATCAATATTACCATGATAGCAAAACTAGGCAAAGAAATCACAAGAAAACCACAGATCAATATTTCTTATGGATATAGACACAAAAATCTCCAACAACAACAAAAAGTCCAGCAACAAACAAAAAGGATTTTATGTGAAAACAAAGTAGGATTCACTTTAGGAATGCAAGGTTGGTTCAGCCAACAAAAATCAGTCCATATCATATACCATATAAATAGGGAAAAAAGGCAAAAACCACACGATCATATCGATAGATTCAGAAAGTATTTGACAAAATCTAATACACTTCAGACAAAAACACTCAATAAACTAGGAATAGAAGGCAAATTCCTCAACTTTAAATTTTACCAACTACCAAAAACAAACAAAAAACACACAGTAACCACAAGTAACATTAAAATTAATGGTGAAACACTAAAAGTGCATCCGTAAGATCAGAAACAAAACAATGATTTGGATTACACTCTCACTATTTCTGTTTAATATTGTACTAGAGGTACTAGCAAGACAATTAGATAAGGAAAAGAAATGAAAGGCATCTAGATCGGAAAGGAAAAAGTAAAACCATCTCTATTTACAGATCATATAATCTTGTAAAAACTAGAAAATCCTCTAGGAATTTACTAAAAACTATTAACGATATTAAATAAGTAAAGCAGGTTTGTATAATAGTATTTCTACACTCTTGAATGAAAAATCCAAAAATGAAATTAAGAAAAAAATTCATTTACATTAACATCAAAAATCACCTATCGGGGCTGGTGCCATGGTGCAGTAGGTTAATTCTCTGCCTACGGCGTTGGTATCCCATACGGGCGCTGGTTCTAGTCCCGGCTGCTCCACTTCCAGTCCAGCTCTCTGCTAGGTCTGGGAAAGCAGAGAAGATGACCCAAGTTCTTGGGCCCCTGCACCCATATGGGAGACCAGGAAGAAGCGCCTGGCTCCTGGCTTTGGATTGGTGCAGCTCGGCCATTGTGACCATTTAGGGAGTGAACCAATGGAAGGAAGACCTTTCTCTCTTTCCCTAACTGTAACTCTAACGCTCAAATAAAATAAATAAAATCTAAAAAAAACTATAAATAATAACTTTAACAAAAAGAAGTATAATATTAGTACATTGAAAACCATAAGACATCATCGGAAAAAAATAAGATACAATGAATGGTAAGCTATCCAATATTAATGGACTGGAAAATTTAATATTTTATAATGGCAATACTCCTCAAATTAATCTACAGATTAAGCATAATCCCTAGTAGGCCCCTTTGCAGAGAGTGACAAGCTGATTCTAAAATTCAAATGGAAACATAAAAGACCCACAACAAGTAATCAAACAACCTTGAAAAAGAACAAAGTAGGAGGACTCACACTTTCTAACTTCAAAATTTACCACAGAGCTACAGTAATTATGACAGCATAATGCTCATATAAGGATCAACATATTAGGCCAATGGAATAGCAGTGAGATAACAGAAATAAACCCTCAAAGTTATTGCCAATTGTCAAAACAGTTCAATTTGAAAAAATAGCCTTTTCAACAAATGATGCATGGACAACTGGATACCCACGTACAAATGAATGAAGGTGGACACATACATAACCTCACATTAAGAAATAAAATTGAACAAAGACCCAAATGTAAGATGTAAAACTATAAAACTCCTAGAAAACATAGGTGTAAATCTCCATGACTTTTGATGAGGCAATGGTTTCTTATACAAAAACGGGTCTTCAGAAAATTCATGGGAAATCTGTATTATGACAAAAAACCTGGGCCGGCGCTGTGACTCACTTGGTTAATCCTCCGCCTGCGGCGCCAGCATCTCATCTGGGCACCGGGTTCTAGTCCCGATTGCTCCTCTTCCAGTCCAGCTCTCTGCTGTGGCCCCGGAGGGCAGCGGAGGATGGACTAAGTGTTTGGGCGCCTGCACTCGCGTGAGAGACCAGGAAGAAGCACGTGGCTCCTGGTTTCGGATCAGCGCACAGCATCGGCCGCGGCAGGCATTTGGGGAGCGAACCAACGGAAGTAAGACCTTTCTCTCTGTTTCTCTCTCACTGTCTGTAACTCTACCTGTCAAATAAATAAAATAAAATAAAATAAAATAAAATAAAATAAAATAAAATAAAAACTTGGAGCTGGTGTTGTGGTACAGCCAGTTGAACTAATGCATACATTGCCAGCATCTCATATGAGTGCTGGTTCAAGTCCTGGCTGCTCCACTTCCAACCTAGCTCTCCGCTAATGTGCCTGGGAAGGCAGCAGAAGATGGCTCAAGCACTTGTGTCCTTGCCACCCTCCCAGATGTAGTTCCAGGCTCCTGGCTTCAGCCTGACCAAGCCCCAGATCTTCCAGCTATTTGGGGAACCAGCAGGTGGAAGATCTCTATCCTTCTGTAAATCTTCCTTTCAAATAAATTAATTATTTAAAAAATTTACACATGGATACAAAATTTTGTCCCAAAATTCATTTATTTTTTAATTCCTTTTTCCATGAACTTTTTGGAGTATATTCTCCAATTATATATATTTTAATGGCCTGCTTCTCTCATACAAACATCTCAGTATTACTGAAACCCTTTTTTTTATACTCCTGTTCTATATGCTCCACCAACTCTGTCTACTTCATTTCTGTTAGAATATCATTGGCTTCTTTATGATCTCTACAGTCTGGCACTTTTAAGACGTGTTTCTTTTCCACTTGATTCCTTTGATATTTCCATTTGGTTCCCTTTAATCCTTAATATGTCCCTTTTCAAGTCACTACCTCCTCCATTACCTATCCATCCCTGCCAGACCTCTTCCTTACCACACCAGCCCCTTCAGTCACTTGAACTTCAGGCCTTCTGCTCTCAATAAACTCAAAGATGCCCAAAAGTAACCATCTGAGGCTGGTAAAGGAAAAAAGCCTCTATCTCCTTTAGATTACATGGCAGGGCAAGAGAAAGTCTTAAAGGACTCTTCCACAAATATTAGTAAACAGGTAACTTTAATTTGAGAGCTAATAACTTTATATAAACTAGTCAGTCATACTGCTATAATGTACTGACTCAAGGCCACAATTTTAAGTTATAACATCTTAGCATGTCTCAGTATGTTTATATATGTATGTGTGAAGGGAAAAAAAGGTGTTCAATTTTATACCATGTGTTTTTCTAAGTACTAAAGAAGTGAGTTCTATGGAAGACAGTTTGGAGATACCTCAGAAACCTGAATATAGTCCTACCATACAACCCAGACATCCCACTTCTTGGAATTTACCCAAAGGAAATGAAATTGGCAAATAAAAGAGCTATTTGCACCTCCATGTTTATTGCAGCTCAATGCACAATAGCAAAGACATGGAATCAACCTAAGTTCCCATCAATGGAAGACTGGGTAAAGGAATTATGGGATATGTACTCTATGGAATACTACACAGTGGTAAAAGAAAAAATAAAATCCGGTCATTTGCAACAAAATGGATGAATCTGGAAAACATCATACTTAGTGAAATAAGCCAGTCCCAAAGGGACAAATACCATATGTTCTCCCTGGTCTGTGACAACTAACTGAGTACCTAACAGAAAACCTGTAGAAGAGAAATTGACACTGTGAGACGCAAAGACTTCATCAGCCCTTGTCCTGTTGAGGAACAGCTTATTATTTTTCTTTCTTTATTTTTTTACTATTTTCTTTTTCTTTTTTTATTTATTTGACAGAGTTAGACAGTGAGAGAGACAGAAAGGTCTTCCTTCCATTGGTTCACCCACCAAAAGGCCGCTACGGCCAGAACTACGCTGATCTGAAGCCGGAGCCATGTGCTTCCTCCCTGGTCTCCCATGTGGGTGCAGGGGCCCAAGCACTTGGGCCATCCTCCACTGCCTTCCCAGGTCACAGCAGAGAGCTGGACTGGAAGAGGAGCAACCTGGGACTAGAACCCAGCACCCATTTGGGATGCTGGTACCACAAGAGGAGGATTAACCAAGTGAGCCACGGCACCAGCCCCACTATTTTCTTTTTTACTTAATACCATTGGTTGAACTCTTAACACAGAATTATTCACAGGTGTTTAAATCCTATTGAAAATTATTCCCAGTAAAAAATAAGAGTGGGAATAAAAGAGGGAGAACTCTTAACACAAAATTATTCATAGGTGTTTAAATCCTATTGAAAATTGAACCCAGTAAAAAATAAGAGTGGGAATAAAAGAGGGAGAAAATGTACAGTTCAGCACACATTCCCACGGACTTACCCCTAAGGGTAAAGCTAAAAATTTGCCATGGGACTCCAAATCCCATTAAGCTGGGTGGTACTAGTTAAAGTGATCATTTTAAGTGTGTAACTGATCATATATATAGGAATAATTGTCAAAGGGATCACATAAATAAGACCAAGTGTCTGCTAACAACAGTAGATAGAATTAAAAAGGAGAGAATGATCCGACATGGGAAGCGGGCCATACAGCAGACTCAGAATGACAAATAGCCTAAACAGCACTCAGGTGAAAAATCAGCCCTTAACGCATTTGGATCTGGCTAAAAAGCCCATAAGAGTATTTCAGGCATGGAAAGTCAAGACACTGTGGCAAAAAATGACCTACATGAAAGATCTCTGTGAGTGAGATCCCAGCGGAAAGAAGGGACTGTCAAAGAAGGAGGTAGCTTTCTCTGAAGAGAGGAGAGAACTTCCACTTTCATTATGGCCTTGTCTAAATAATGTCAGAGTTTGTGGACTCAAGAGGCTTCCACAACCTTGGCAGCTCATGACAAGAGTCTCGGGTGATCACTGATGTCATGAATAAGAGTGTCAATTGTTAAATCAACAACAGGAGTCACTGTGCTCTTGCTCCCCATGTAGGACCTCTGTCCTTAACATGTTATACTATGAGAATTAACAGCACAACTAGTTTTCAAACAGTACTTTATACTTTGTGTGTCTATGTGGGTGCAAACTGTTGAAATCTTTACTTAGTACAGAATTGATCTTCTGTATATAAAGATAGTTAAAAATGAATTTCAATGAAGAATGGGATGGGAGAGGGAGTAGGAGGTGGGATGGTTTGGGGGTGGGAGGGGGTGTATGGGGAGAAGAACCACTATATTACTAAAGCTGTACCTATAAAATTTATATTTATTAAATAAAAGTTTTCTATATAAAAAAACAAAGTGAGTTAATCCAATACAAGGACAAAAACTTACCATAGTTTCAACGATGATAGTGAGGTTACCTAAGCCATCAGTCAGAGCTACATAACTTCCTCCTTTCTCTAAATGGCCAACTGTCTTCAAATAATACCAACCTGGTTGAGTAAACTGAGTAGTATGGGCTAAACAAAAGCACAGAAGATTCAAATAAGATAAAAAATTTTGATAATAGGATTTCTTTAAAAATTTTTGAGTCTGATTAAACCTAACAAACTATTTTCTATTTAGGAAGAAAATATATGTCAACCTCATGTTTCAATTTTTAAATAATTAATCCACTTAAATGGTAGTTACAGGAAGACTCTTTGAATGATTGATAAAAGTAAATGAACCTGTCAGTTCAAGAATATTAATTGGTCTTTTTCCCAAAGACAAAATAAAGGTATTCTCTCCCAACTTTTGTTCATCACTATTCAACACATCCTAATATAACAGCAAAAAAGAAGCTAAAAAGTTAATAATGCATTTCAAAAACTAAGTTGTATAGTTTCAAGCAAATTATTTCTACAACATACACAAGAATACTTCCAAAAGTTCATGGAAAAATGGAATCAAAAGATCTACATTTTCTATGAACTTTTGGAAGTACCTGTGTATATTTATTCATAATCTGTAAAATTGATCCTGAAAATGTACTAATATCCCATGTCCATTCACACCCCCAAAAATCAGAAAATAGAAGGACACATTAGTTTATCTAGATAATGTGGGGCCAACAACTTTAAAATTTAAGGGTTAACCAACCAAGACATATTATAAGTTCAATTGAATTTTCCATACTTTTGAATAAGAATTTAAGGAGCTTAGAATAATGTCACGATTATATGACTAATATCATGATTACAAATCTCTCTGAGACACATAAACTAAAAAAGAAAATCATCAAAATGTGTTTAAAATTAAGTCTACTTTGAATTCATAATTTTCCTGAAAGCAACTTACCTTTGAAGAAACTGATTTTTTAAAGATTATAATCATGATTTTAAAGCAAAATGGTCATAAATGCTTAAACTTTTAACCAAAAAAATTATGGAAAAAATTTCCATACTATTCTACTGATTTTTATTTCATTGAAATTATAATATTAGGATGGTTATGACCCTTCAGAAGAAACTTATACCACACCATACATTGTCTACGTGAACCTAAACCTCCCTTGTGACTAATGAATAATACAGTAGAAAAAGTTTTGTCTCAATTGAAATAAATGGATCAATAGCCCTGTTCATTTGCTTTAAGCTATGTAAATGATGTCTTGTCTGGTGGGGATTTAATTGATTTCCTCACTATTTTGAGAAACGCAGCTTGTCCCTGTTTGCAATTCATCTCATATTCCTTTACTCCACAAAAATTTGTGCTGTGTTGACTTTTCCTTTGAACTTGTTCTAACATCTGCCTGACTCCTTCATATCACATGAGTAACACTCTTCAGTGTGTGCTCATTTTTGTATACATGAGAGTTATAATTTTATCTTTTTCTTAAAATTACCTTTTAACAACACAAACCAGAATATTAATGGAACAATCTAAAGCCATGATAGTTCACCTGACTTTGATATTTACTTATTAATTTAATGATTCAATGGCTTATGTTAATTGCCTGATTTATCACCTAACTTTGATTTTATTAGCACACTATTCAAACCAAAAAGCTATATTAACATACAATTTTTAAAATGTCTCCAAAACTAACTTTAAAACTTTTAGATAGTCTAAATTAGAATGAATCTTTACAAATGTATCATTTTATTAACTAATATAATTTGTTTTCATACACTTTGGTATTGTTTCTTGCTCTCTCCATCTCAACACCTTTACCTATGTCTCGCTTCCTATCACACCTTTGGCTAAGAGTCTGGTCTTAAAATAATCAAGAATATAATACAAAAAGCAATATAGTTACCCAAAACAGTCTGTGTGCGCACAAACACACTCACACACACACACATAATTTGTATGACCTCCTCTGTTTTCTGCTTTTTCACTTAGAGAGAAATTGAGAGAGAGTGAGAGATGAAATCTAAACCATACCTGATACCCAAATAGGAGACTCCACTATATAATGCCCACTCCATGGTTCCTGGGCAGTCATCAATCCGCATCGCTCATATGGCAAATTGTCATAGTAACTAGCCACCAAATTCCAAGCAATTGTTCTAAAAGATTTGTTGGTAAAAGAAAAACACCAAAACAATTTGGAATAAAGATATAAATGTCTACAAAATCTGCAATAAAAAGAACTTACCACAGTTACATGAGTTTATATAGATGACTATAATAAAATGACCACTCGAAACAAGAAAATATGTTACCTAAGTTCACCCTATTTTGAAAAATCCACTGTTGTATATATCTAAATATTTTACAGGTGAACCACATAACTTTTTAATGTATATGGGATGTACACATTTTTTTACTGAACAATACATCCAAAAGATGAACCATGCCCTACAAGTACCAAATAGATCGCAAATTTGAATCAAATATAAATGAAGCCTTCATCCATACCTGCTTTCCTTTTGGCAGACAACCTTCTTAATGCCCCAGATTCATGACATAATTTTTATCAACATGATTCTGACCTGTTGCAAAGTTTTACAAATGAAAACCCTTAAGAGTCAGACTGACTGGGTTAAAATCATGGTTCCACCACTTAACCTCCCTGGACCTCAGTTTGCTCATCTATAAAATGAGGATAACGATTGTACCTAGCTCATATGATTATTGTGAGGACTAAACGTCCTAATACACATGAAGACTACAGAACAGAGTCTGGGCTGTTATTCTGCTTCATCAACAAATACTAACTTCATCAGTTCATGGGTCCTTCTGACCTATTCTTGCAGACGATCAGGCCCTAACAATTCATAGTAGGTACAAAAGCCTAAGATTCTGATTTGGTGGTTCTCAGAAAACCCAAGAGAAAAAGGGAAATTTTCTACTTAATACTGCTCAGTTACTAACAGCTGATAAAATATAAAAGAAAAAACAGAATTTACCCTAGCAATCTTAGTAAAAGTCCCAACTTTCAAAACGAACCTTACTCTCCAGTGAACATTTTGAGAGTTCTTATGATCTTGCTCATGGTTTTGAAGATGCCTGGCATCCTCTCTGCTAGTGATAGAAGTATAAATTGAGACAAACTTTCCAGATAGCATTTAAAAAAACAAGTACAATGCACTTCAAAAATCTATATACCTCTGATCCAGGTATCTCATTCCCAATACTACATTCCAAGGAAATAGTTATAGCTGCATAGAAAGATACTCATATACAGTTGATTATTTCAGTTTATGCAAAGTTACTAATTAAAATAATTAAAATAGTAATACCCTCCATTTCTAGGAAAACAGAAAAAGCCAATGAGATATAACACATTTTCTACAACAGTATTTCCTAAACTTGTATGGCATCAGAATCACCCGTGGCACTGACTAGACCATCCCAGAAGCCTTTCCTACAGATTCTGATTTAGGAAGCCTGGGTCCCTGCCAAGGAATCAATGTAACAAGTGTCTCACATACTTTTAAGAGAAGGCAAGTGTGGGCCGGCGCTGCGGCTCACTAGGCTAATCCTCCGCCTAGCGGTGCCGGCACACCGGGTTCTAGTCCCGGTCGGAGCGCCAGATTCTGTCCCAGTTGCCCCTCTTCCAGGCCAGCTCTCTGCTGTGGCCAGGGAGTGCAGTGGAGGATGGCCCAGGTGCTTGGGCCCTACACCCCATGGGAGACCAGGAAAAGCACCTGGCTCCTGGCTCCTGCCATCGGATCAGCGCGGTGCGCCGGCCGCAGCGCGCCGGCCGCGGCGGCCATTGGAGGGTGAACCAACGGCAAAAGGAAGACCTTTCTCTCTGTCTCTCTCTCTCACTGTCCACTCTGCCTGTCAAAAAATAAAAATAAAAAATAAAAAAAATAAAAAAAAAGAGAAGGCAAGTGTGGAAAATCCTGCTTTACTGCTTTACATAACAGAATACACATAGGCATTAAAAATGATGAAGTAGAAACACACATATGAGAAAAAGTTCATAATGCCATGGATAATGAAAAGCAACTTACTAAACAGTTTATACTACAGTATGGTCTCTATTTTGTGTTGAAAATACATAACATAAACATAAATAGGACATAAACCAAAATTTGCATAGACAGTCATTTCTGGATGATAAAATTTGAGTGATTGTTTTTCATCCTTTGTAGTTAATCTTTAGTTATTAAATTCTCTGCCATGAACACAAATTACTCTCAAAATCAAACTTTCCACCATAACCATCTTTTCTTTCAAGAGAAGAAGAAAAAGTTCAGATGTAACATATGTGCAACTAGCACTGAAATCACAAAGGTACATAGATAAATTGTTTTGAGTTTGTTCAATTTATCAATGTTTTAGAAAGCTAATTTAAATATAATCACACAGTATTTTCAGAGCATTTAAGAAAAAAGCTTTCTTTAGAAATAAAGAGTAGCATTCTCCCTTAAGAATTTATGTTTTCTAACCATCACACAAGGTAAGAGATCCCTTGAAGAACCAACTAGGCTGACTGGGAAGTGGATGTCCACAAAATTACTGGCCCAATCTTTTGAAAAATGTTAGAAAAAATGAGGATGAAGGAAACTATCCCAGATTAAAAGAGACTAGAAGGGAATAATTTCTAAATAAAATGCATAGTGTTTAATTACATCTTTCTTTCTAAAGAAATGAATAAATGAATGAGCTTCCCATCTAGCTCCCTGCTAATGTGCCTGACAGCTCAAGTGCTTGAGCCCCTGCCACCACATGGGAGACCCAATTAGAGTGCTGGGCTTTTGTTTCAAAATGGCCCAGCCTCAGCTGCTGCAGCCATATGAGGAGTGAGCCACAGAATGGAAGATCTCTTCCTTTCTCTGTCACTCAAATTTTTAAATAACTAAATTTTTTTAATAAATAAATAACAAAAATCATAAATCACATTAGGAAAATATGAATGTATACTGGATATGAGAAATATTTTCAAATGCTCTTCTGTATGAAAATGACACTGTGATCACGTAGAAAACCACACTTAGTTTTAAGTATAGACTAAACTAATAAGGCAAAATGTTTACAATCATTGAATGTAGGTTGTAAAAATAAGGAAGTCTATTACACTTTTACTTCTTGTGATTTTTTCACACTTTCATAATAAAACAACTCAAAGATTTTTAGTGACTTACGAAGTCATATATCCATTGACGTAATTCTGATTCAATATGCGGGCCCAGCAGCCTGCACCAACATCATCATTTGGAGTGCTAAAATCTTCAGAAGACCAAAGCTTCTTCCCAGTCAATTTTGCTTCCTTTACTGAGTGGGTTCCAGGATAATGAGCCCTAAAAAAGAAAGAGTAGGAGTTATGCTTGATCGATCAATAAATGCATGTGGATGGAAGGGTTTGTCCACAGTTCTTGGCTAATTACTTTCACAACCGTAGCTACTGCCTAAGTGACAAAAATGAAGCTGGGGTACTGTAAACCTCTCAAAAAAGTCTCAGATAGTCTCTCTTTCTCTCTCTTCCTTTTTATCCCTAAAGCAGACCATAGGAACTAGAATTTCTCTTCCCCAAGACTGGTTATAGAAACTAAGACTATATCCTAATCTTTCCTCTGATCTTTCTGTCTTGGAACTGGCCATCCATTTTGTCTGAATGGATCATAAAACCCCCATTCAGAAGGGATCCTGCTCCATGCCTCCAAGGAAGGACTGCTGCATCAGAGACCAAGAAAAACAGTGAACAGACAGGTCTCGCTGGGTTTCCCTACTCCATATATTAGCAGTAGCTCACACTTTTTGTGCAGTCATATTTTAACAAGGCTGTCCATGCTTTGATCATGCCTATGCAATAAAGTCTCCATGAAAACCCAACAGGATAGGATTCAGAGAGCTTCTGTACAGCTGACCATATGAAGGCTTACAGGAAGATGAACAAAGATTCCCTCATGTTCCAGGAGCATAATGTACCCCAACTCCACAGGGACAGAAGCTCCTGTGCTTGAGATCCTTCCAGACCTCATCCACTCTATGCATCTCCTCACCTGGTGGCTTATTTGTATCCTTTAAAACAACCCTTCATAATAAGCCAATGAATGCAACTCCTATAGTATTTCCCTGAGTTCTATGAGCTACTCTAGCAAGTTAATCAAACCTGAGGAGGGGGTCGTGGAAACCTCAATTTGTAGCTGGTTGGTCGTAAGTTCTGGAGGCCCAGACTTGCAGCTGGGTCTGGTGTGGTGGCAGTGTCACAGACTGCGCTCTCAATGTGTGTTATCTGGAGCTATCTCCAGGAAGACAGGGTCAGGAATGAAATGGACTAGTGGAAACCCAGCCAGTGTCTGCTGCTGCTGCTGCAGAATTAATGACTTGCTTGCTGGTGGGGAGACATCCCCACACCTTTTGAAGTCAGACAGAAAAGGGTTTGTGTTTCCCACACAGGAGTAAATGACAAAAGACCAGAATGTGGCACCTGTGTATATTTGTTGAGTGAATAAAAATACAAGTCTTCTCCAAGGTTTTCTATTTTGAAACCTTTGGGGTACTTCCAAGTAGATGGCAGACTGAATGTCAGCATCTGTTTCCCACCCTTCTGTCTCTGATTGTCCTCAAAACGACAGCAAAGAAAGCAAAAGGGGGTAACCCCAAAACAGTGCATAGAATAGGAAGGAAGATCCTCAAAGGATGAGAAGTTTCAATATTTCAGAAAATCATAAAATGGATGGAAGCATGTTGATAGATTGAGGTAGCTGAGGAAGTCACAGCCTAGGATACTCCATGATGAGAATAAGACGGAAGCAAGATTCAGACTCCCTGGGAGAAGGCAGAGAGCTTGGGATAGATGTAGGAAGAAGGAGGTCAAAGACTAATGAGTCTACAGTATAAAGTCACACCACTCCCTAATCCTGCCTCCAGTGGACAAAGAAACAATGCTTGGCATTTATTCCCAGGCAAACCAAAAGGGCAAGAACAGATATGGTTCTTTTTTGAATAAAAAGAATACCTTGGGAAAACCAGAAATCACTATCTCAAAGCAACAAGGAACTTCAACCGGAGTGATTTTGTCCCTAGAGATGATATGTGGCAATATCTGGGCACATTCTCTTATTTTTTTAAGATTTTTTATATATATTTTTTTTATTTGGAAGTCAGAGTTACAGAGAGGCAGAAGCAGAAGCAGAGAGAGAGAAAAAGAGAGACAGAGAGACCATCTGCTGGTTCATTCCTCCATTTGCCCCAACAGCCGGAGCTGTGCCAATTGGGAGCCAGGAGCTTCTTCCAGGTCTCCCAAGCAGATGCAAGGGCCCAAGAACTTCGGCCAGCCTCTACTGCTTTCCCAGGCCATACCAGAGAGCTAAATAGGAAGTGGAGCAGCCAGGACTCGAACCAGCACCCATATGGGATGCTGGCACTGTAAGCAGCAGCTTTACCCACTATGCCCCAGTGCCGGCCCCAATATCTGGATACTTTCAACTGTCCCTCTGACTAGAGGCCAGAAATTCTGCTAAACTCCTGCAATACTTAAGATAGGCTCTGACAACAAGGAATTCTCCTTTGAAAAAATAATGCATGGGGCAGGTGTTTAGCAGTTAAGATGCCCTTATCCCGTATTGGAGTACCTGGGTTCTATTCCTAGCTTCAGCTCCTGACTCCAAATTCCCAGCAATGCAGACACTGGGAAGCAGCAATGATGGCTCAAATAATTGGATTCCTTCCTCTCACACAGATAACCTGGATTACATTCTTGTCTCCTGGCTCTTGCCCGCGCCCAGTTACAGACATCTGGGGAGGGAATCAGCAAATGGGAACCCTTTTTCTCCACCTGTGTCTCTGCTTCTCAAATAAATAAAGTTTTATAAGATAATAATGATGATAATGACAGAGGAAAAGTTGAAAAATTGTCCCAGAAAATGAGTCCCTCTCTCATTCTAGTATGTGAAGGAAGTCAATTAGTTGAAGAATAAATGCATATTTATTATTACAGGAGTAAAATCTATCATGATTGTGGAAGCTACTAACGATATAACTAAAAACAAATAATATATTTTAAATGGAAAACAGACTGAGAGTTAATACAATAATAAGAGCATATTAGCTTTTAGGAATAAGACTATACTTTTTAGATCAACGATTACTTACAAGACATGTAATAGTAACACAAGCTGAATAATAAAGTTAAGATTATGTCAAAATTCTGATCCTTATAGTTTTGTGTAATAATGCTCAGAACATCAAATGAATGATTGTGAAGACTTGTTTTGGATTTTAGTTATTTAATCCCAATTTATTTTATGAATCATTTCTTACAAATATATTGCTTTCCTGGATATAAAATATCTAAAAATTATAATCAATAAGATAGGTATTATACACTCAACTCTGTACCTTGATAGAGAATACATCCCAAGTCAAAAAAAGCTCTTGGGAAATTAAAAAAAAAATTAAATACATTCATCACTAAATGATCATGATGCAATAAAAGTAGAAATTAATGATAATCAAGCAGATCCCATGAAATAAAGCTAAAGCAGTTCTCAGAGGAAAATTCATTGCATTAAACTAACTGCAGCAATAAAAATATATATTCAATCTCTTCATGAAGCTATAGTCAAACCTACACTTTGGTTTAGTATTTTTCCTTAATTAAATATACCCAAGATCAACATAACTTTGTTTTCCCTCATAACTATACAAATATGTTACTTCTCTTGCCAAAAAAAAAAAAAGTCGAATATAACCTTGTCTCCAATTTCCAATAGGAAATAGAGTGGATGAGCAGATCACATTAAATGAAAGAATGAAATCATAAAATCCAGACTATGAGAGATTTTTAAAAGACACATAGCTCCGTTTCTTTAACAAATAAAAGGAAAAAAAGAGAGCAAGAACCTACAGATGAGTCTTAAATATTAACCAACTACAATATATGAATTTTAAATTAATCCACATAAAGTATAAAATAATGGATAGTTGATACTATCAAGATATCAAGAATTATTACCTTTTTAAGAATAATAATAGTGTTGCTTATGATAAAAAGAAAAAGAACACTATTCTTTAGAGGTATGAGGTAAAAATTTTATGGAAGAAATCATATAATGTCTATGGCTTGCTTCAAAATAATGTGGGAAGGGGCCAGCGCCCTGACACAGTAGGTTAATCCTCCGCCTGCAGCACCAGCATCCCATGTGAGTGCCAATTCTAGTCCCGGCTGCCCTTCTTCCAGTCCAGCTCTCTACTATGGCCTGGAAAAGCAGTAGAAGGTGGCCCAAGTCCTTGGGTCCCTGCATCCAAGTAGGAGACCAGGAAGAAGCACCTGGCTCCTGGCTTCAGATCGGCGCAGCTCCGACTGTTGCAGCCATTTGGGGAGTGAACCAACGGAGGGAAGACCTTTCTCTCTGTATTTCCCTCTCACTGTCTGTAACTCTAACTCTCAAATAAAATAATAAAATCTTAAAAAAGATGATAATGTGGGGAGGAAACAAAGAGGACTGTATAGGCATGTGGATAGAGAATTGGCCATAGGATCACAGTTCTTGAAGACGGGTGATACAAATATCTTCACTGCATTAGTCTGCCTATTTTTGTATACTTCAAAATTTACTAAACAAATAAATAAAGTCCATGGAGAGATCAAGTAAAGTGTTCACACTAGATAAAAAACAAATTCTGGGGCTGGAGTTGTGGTGAGTACAGCTGCCACCTGTGATGCCAGCAACCTTTATGAGTACTGGTTCAAGTCTTGGCTGCTCAGTGTCTGATCCAGTTCCCCAGTGATGTGCAAAGGAAAGCAAGGGAAGAATAGCATAAGTACTTGGGCTCCTTCAACCCAAGTGGAAGACCCAGATGATGTTCCAGGTGCCTGGCTTCAGCCTCTCCCAGCACTGGCTATTTTTGCCATTTGGGGGTAAACCAGTGATGGAAGATAACTGTCTCTGTAACTCTAACTTTCAAGTAGATAATGCCTTTCAAGTAAATAAATATATAATTTTAAAAAATAAATTTCACACATATATGTAATATATATTTCAAATGTTTATACACACTTTCATGATATAAAATGCAAATTAACCAAGAAAAAGCACTGCTGGAATGCAATGAGGTCAGGACCAAATGGTTTGAAAGAAGAATAAGGAATAAGGTCAGAACCATACTACTAAAGAAACGTGACAAAAGTTATAGTCTGTGTCATTGTTCCAAAATAGTGTTCACATAAGAACTCCCATCTAAAAGAAACCTGACTTAGGAACTCATTTTACAACATTGCTTATTAAAATTAAATACTATTCTGTAATAGAGGGAGTTGGGTATAGTTTATAGATTATGACAAATATACTAACTTAAGGTGTTAACCACAGGGAAAGTTGAGTGAGGGGTATATAGGAAATTGTTGCACTGGTTCACAATTTTTGTTTTGTAAACTTAGAATTATTAAAAGTGAAAAAATTCTACCCCCTTAATCTAAACAAATCCATCTTATTACTCTAAATATCAACATTTTTTTAACTTATCACTATATTTCATTGTCATAAAATGATCTCAAAACACATATTTCAAAGAGGAAGGAATGAACTATGAGCTATACATGCTTTATTTAAATAAATACCTCACTTTCTGAGAATATACTCAAATGGGGAGTGTCGCTACCCCTCTTCGTGGAGGAACGACACAGGACCCTGCGCTGTTCTTTTGTCTGCTCGGCCCTCCCCGGGTTTGCTGCTGGTTCTTCCCGGGTTGGCTACCGTCCCTTCCACCTCCGTGGAAGGGCGGTTCCCCCTGCCACTTTCCCCACTTCTGCGGGGGAGCGGCACACCGCCAGCCGGCTCTCTTGGGGGCTGCTCAGGTGTTCCTTCAGATAGATGTTCCTGGTGCATGTTGTCTCTCTCCTCCTTTATAGTCCTCTTCCACCAATCCCAACTCTGCTACCCACACGCCGAGTACACTGCTCTCCTCCAATCAGGAGCAGGTCCTGCTGTTTATTGGTTGAACTGGAGGCAGCTGTGTAGAAGCTGTTTCCTCCTCTCCCAGCGCCATATTGTGGGAGAGCAGATGCATAGAATAAGTCTTAATTCCAGTAACAGTCTAATCTGAGTTGCTCCCCACAGGGGAGGAGAAAGGAAAAACAAAGGCACAGTTGAGAAGCAGAGCAACCAACCAGAAACTGCTGGTTTTTAAAGTGAAAGATGCCTTACCCTATAACATCAATCACCTTCAGGAGTTCAGTGTCCAGAAGCATGGCAGCAGAAATTGGCTCCCAGAGATTATCACTTGCTATGATTTTCACATGCTGGAGACCTTGATAGTTCAGCATTTTTCTTAAAACCTTTTGAAGAGACAAACAGAACAAAGAAAAGGTTACAAATGAGTTTTTAGCTATTGAATTACAATGAAGTTAGCCAAAATAGCTTCAAAATCAGCATTCTGGAAGATGGTTTCAGTAATACTAAAGCACTTCAAAAAGCACATGGAAAATGCATTAAAAGAAGCTTATTTGGGACCAATAAAAAATTTTGAAATCCCTGCATAAGACAAGTCTTCAGAAAGTCCATGAAAAAGGTATATTACAGAAAAATTGTGCATGGTTTTAAAACTTGTTTGCATCAGAAAAAAAAAAACTTTCAAGGTTTATTTTATTTATTTGAAAGACAGAGTGACAGAGGAAAAAAAGGAATGATAGATCAAGAGATCTTCCATCTGCTGGTTCACTCCCAAATAGTTATATATTTTCCCTCTGGCTTTAAAATTATGTTTAACCTTAGAAAAGAGCAGAGTGAAGTGAAGGATAGAAATAAAAATAATGAAATAGTATTATCAGAAATATTTTGGAATGTTTTCTTCCAGGAATTTTCCCACACAGACACAATAATAAAATTGAAATCATAACATACAACAAGCCATTTTGTTCTAAGTATTTCCCAATGCTTTTCAAATTTCAAATAGTTGCTAAAATTGCTAAAATATTTTATCATACTAGAAGTAGAAATGCTCCATTTTGTAGTCTTTCACATTTATAAATATAAAATAAAATCTACCTGTAAGACTATCCACCTACAAAAATTAAAAGTAATAAGTTAAATCTAATGGAAACACATTGACAAACACAAACTGAGCACCTACTCTGGCACTTAATACCACAGTTGGGCCCTAGGATGGCCCTTAAAAAAACACAAGATGCAGCCCTCACCCTTTGGTGGTGAACATGTTCACCAGAACACTAAAACTAACAGGGTATGCTAGACAGAGTAGAGATAGAGCAAAATGAATGGATTATCTAAACATAAAACAGCAGGGAAAAGGAAACATCATTTGATCCAGAACCATGAGGAACAAATTCCAAATAAGAACCCCCCTGAATATCCCCTCAAGCCCTTCAAACTGTAGTGTCTGCAGTAGCAGGTCTCAATAGCACCAGTTTTTCACAAGCTTTTTTTTTCACATTCTAACTCATCTGAACTAGGGAAATTTCCAACTAAATGACAGATAACAAAGCCTCTAACTGAATCCACGGTGTACTTTACAATGGATACTTTTAGATGGATTATTATGGAATTTAAGAAAATGGAGTAAGAATTAGAGGGGCAATTCAAATTCACCTTTCAAATAAGATCAACTGAGTCCCTGGACATCTTAGAAGCATTATGAGCAGTGTTTAAGTTGCCTGGGCCCCTGGTAACAAGAGAACCCTTGGCAAAAATCCCCAGCAATAAGGATATCACTAGAGACAGAAAAGCCTCTAGCCAGTGGCAATCTGCCTCAGATATGTACTGTTTATCTCCCAGACTACAACCCACATTACAGCACTAGTCAGCTTCCAGGTATTCTGCTCACCCACTGCTCCCTTGCATTGTATGTTAATAAATCTAACTCTGCGCACTCTTCTCTGTAGTCTACTGTTAGTGAATTCTTCTTACCACCAATGACATGTCCTGACAGACATTTTGGTGGCCTCTATGGGGATTTCTCCTCTGATCATGTGGAGCCATGCTTTTGCCCTCTGATCACTCTTAGCCCTTCCTCTCTGTCTCTGGTCCTTGGCAAGCAGTTCACCAGCAGAGGGGCAACTGACAGTCCTGGTCAGGGCCACTCCCCTTGGGAATTGAAAAATCCCCATTCTCAGATGCCTCGTATCCATTACCCTCATGTCTGAAAACACTGTTTCTCTGTTTCCTCTCTCTCTGATACTTAGAGAATAGCAGGCGTGTGCTAGTGATTCTTGCCAGGGTGACTTTGCTGAGGATTGTTGATTGATGTTTCATGGCAATGTGATTATACAAGTTCACTAAAAATCTGTTCTTATAACAAATATAATTGGAAACATTGGCATATCTAAAAATTATACACAAAATGCCTGGCTTCAAGAGTTCCTAGCATTGCAATGAATTTAAGTAAAGTTGTCACTTTTTTTAGTAGGCCCTGAAGCTTCAAAAGATTAGGCATCACAGTTTAAAAAAATCTCTAAGTCTGCTTTTTAACTTTGAGAATTCTCTAAATCTAAAATTATCATATTATAAAACAACTTTTGACACTGTACGTAATGAAAAGTCAATCAACAACCTAAGACACCTATTTTTACATCTTTTTACAGAAGTAAAATTTTTTACTTTTTTTTACTTTACATCTTTACAGAAGTAAAATTTCCAGCAAGATAATGCTGGCCTGGCACTTTGGGATGATGAATTGTGCCTACAGAACAGATAATGCTGTTTAACAACAGACTCCAGGCAAAGTTAGCCTAAGTATTACTCCTTGTGAAACTATTTGTTGCTCAAATGCGGTTGAAAGGCTTATTGACAGTGACTCCTAGTCATCAAATGTTTCTTGCTCAATGTGGGACCAGATCTAGAACCAGATCAAATCTTACCTCGCAATGAGGGACAAGCAGGTCCTAGCTACAGGATGATTGATCAGCAACATGCTCAGAAAAAGATCTTGATCATAAAGAGGGAATAAAAATCAAGATGGAGTCCCTGGTTTCAATCATAAACAAAATTAAATAAAGCCAAGAGGTTATGAAAGAAGGGTTCTTATGCAGAGTTCACTGACAGTAACTGAGACCAAAGACTCTGCTATAACTATACCTTCTAGAGAGGGCCCCCATTCCTAATACTGAAAACTATGTTTTCACTTCACAGTGAGGTGCTAAGAAAGCTCTTCAACCTCTTTGTACCTGAGAAGTAAGATTAGCGCTGGGAAGTAGTGACTTAAAATTTGGAAAAATAAAATGACTGATGGCATACATTTCAAAAATCTGGACATTGTCACCCAAGGCTGGCTGATGTATCTGAGAATAGCAGGCCCTCTATACTGTAGAAGACAGATTTTCTTTCAGGAAGCCCACCACAGTACATACATCTCACTGTGTGCTGCCATTTCTGGCCAGAGAACTGTCCTTGTTAAAGCAGTTCTTCAAAGTGAAATGGCTCTAGATGCTCTTACAGCTGCCGTGGGAGAACTTGTGCCTCATTAAAAACAATGTTGTGTTTACATCTCTCTAGCTCCTCAGTATATACATATCCAGATTAGTGCTGTGTCTGATCCCACATTAAGTCTAAATCAATGGCTTTACTACTGGTTTGGGAATGGAAGTTTTCTAGTGGGAAAATACTAATCTTTCTGGCTTTCAATATAAGTATAGGAATGCTAAGAGTAGAATGCTGATGCACCTGTAAAATGAAGCTATAAAAGTTACTGAGCCAAACCCTATCATGATGCAGAAAATCTCTTCAAGTAAGCCAGGAACAAGGATTTTCTTAAAGAGAATGTTTCCAGCTTGTTCTCCTCCAGTCCTGAAACTCCTACAGGTTTGAGGAGTAACAAGAAATGGGGTTGGGGGTAGGGGGTGGGCAATGGAACCAAGTTCCAAAACAGCACCTTGAATGCAGATACCACCAAGCCCCAGTCTCCTCGATACCCTTCCTTGACCTCACTCACTAATTGCATGCGTGGTACAGCAGGCGCTAAAGATTCTAATCACTCACGAAGTCATTTCTTTCTCCAACAGGTAGTACCTTGATGATCAATATCCTCTCACAGGGCCTCACTTCAGGGGAATTCCAGGTCTGGAACTACTATCTGTGAATAAACCCCTACTCACACTGAAGTCCTCTTGGCCATGATAAAATTTCCTGAAGAGAACAATAGCACTGACCAATTAAAGTAAGGCCATGACCACAAAACTGCTTGGCCTCAGTACTTCTGAGATTGAATGAGAAATGGCCACTTAGTAGAGCTCTGGATTATGTTACTGTTTTTCAGCCAGAATTGTTTTAAGTTCCCTATATGTAAGCTTTTAGGCTGTGATACCAAAGCACACCAATACAGAATAAATGAAATTATCCAAATTAATGGCTCATAAAAATTGTATTAATCCAAATGCCTGTTGGTTCCCATAACTTAAGTAAATCTTTGTTAGATAAACTGCCTTAAATGTCTTTTAAAAGGGTAAAGATATTTCAGAATTGTTAGTATATATTCATGCCTGAGCTTGTTGACCAAGAAAACAAATAATTGAGATAAAGTTACAATATTCACTGTGTTCTGCATACATGTTCTCTTATTAAAAATGGTTTTCTCTTAACTTAGAGATGTTTAAAGGATTGTTTCAAAATGTAAATTAAAGGTGCCAGTAGAGGGGCTGGTGCTGTGGTATAGCAGGTAAAGCCACCGCCTGCAGTGCCAGCATCCAATACCGGCACTGGTTCAAGCCCCGGCTGCTCCACTTCCAATCCAGCTCTCTGCTACGGCCTGGAAAGCAGTACAAGACAGCCCAAGTCCTTGGGCCCCTGCACCCATGTGGGAGACCCAGAAGAAGCTCCAGAAGCTTCTGGCTCCTGGCTTCAGATCAGCTCAGCTCCAGCCATTGCAGTCAATTGGGGAGTGAACCAGTGGATGGAAGACCTTTCTCTCTCTCTCTCTGTCTCTCTCTCTCTCTCTGCCTCTCCCTCTCTCTCTGTGTAACTCGTTCAAATAAATAAATAAATCTTTAAAAGAAAAAGGAGCCAGTAGATAAGAGCGTTATAAAGGGAACTATAAGTATGAGAATGTGTTCTTGGTAAGAAAGTTAATAAAAAAAAAATTTTTGGATAAGGAAAGGCACTAAATATGAAATTTTTCTGCTAAAATAGAATGACTGGATTATTCTAGATTGGAAAGGAAAAGAGGACAAATAACTGAGGGACTATAAGAATGTTGTAGAGGGTCAGGCATTGTGGTGTAGCCAGTAAAGCCTACAATGCCAGCATCCTATATTGGCACCAGTTTGAGTCCCAGCTGCCCCACTTCTGATCCAGCTCCCTGCTAATGGCCTGGAGAAAAGCAGCGGAA